ATGTAGGAGCACCTATGTATGAGTCTGTACCTTTTAATAGTTTTTGTCCATCAATTATTTCATACCTGAATGGGAATTTGAATACAGAAACATCCTGGCCATTCCGAGGTGATGTGATGGTACTGAGAAATGGTATGACACACCCCATTACTAACGACAATGCTACCATGTCCCTCCCAGACAAAACAAATACTAATCCATCATGTTGTAAGTTGGACATCTCAGGAATGTACCTTTTTGCAGAAGTTTTTGCTCTTGAACTTCAACTGAAGTAAAACATAGCATGACTCTTCTTCAACTCTGAGCTTTCTTAGGTCAAAAAGAAAAAAAAAAGGATTTATTATTATTATTATTATTATTTTTTTTTTTTTTTCTCTGAATGTCTGAAATCTTGTCTTGTGAGATTAGTTTGTGAATCAAATTTTGGATAATATTGTTATGGGAGAAGTCAAGCAAACAGAAAGATGACTCAAACAGTTTAGTGCCAGGACTATTTCTTAACACACAGGAAAATCATCCCCTGGTTGCATATGGAATCCTCCCACAATGAGCAGGGAGCCTGGCAACAAAAGTAAAACTGCAAATTGCCCAACTTTTGCTGCAGAACTAGACACACAGTGGAAGTATAATAAGGAAAAAACAGAAAAACATACACTGTCTGAGGACGAGAAACTATGACGTGGCTAAGTAATGTGCCTAGTTCTTTGCTTGTCAAAATGTCAAAACAGACAACTTAGTAGATAGAAAGGTAAAATTTTCTTTAATTCTTCCTCCCTCCTTCTCTCTCTCTTTCCTTCCCTCCCTACCAAACAAATCAACGAACCAACCAACCCCCCAAAACCCAACAAATGAACCCAAAAGCCAAAAGTGAGCCAAAAACATAGAGGGGAAATAATCTGAATGCTGTGATGGACTATGTAGGCTAAGAGTGGAGAGCATAGCAGAGCACAGGAGGACAGCACTGCAGCAGCTGGTGACTGTCGCTGGGCCACCCTGAGTGAGACTAAAGAGTGGCTCTGACTGCATCCATAGCAATGGATCATGCCTTGCATGAACAATGCTTGGTGCAACTGACTATTGGGAAAAACAAAACAAAACAAAACAAACTGTTTTAACAGGCTGTATTGCATAGCTCAACTGCACGAGTGCTTCTGCATTGAATGAAGAACTGGACTTCTTGTTGCTCAGTGTCTTATGCACTTCAATGTTTCTTCTATGTTCTTGTCAAAAATCAGATGGTGGTACCGTCCCTCAAGTGGTTAAGGAAGTCTTTCTACAGAAGTACTGTGTGAAAATTGCACTGCCACTGCCCCATGCTGCTGGCTGTGGGGTTTATGGCATAATAGCGTGGCTATGGATAAATAGGTTTGGACTGGAACAGAATATTCAGTCTCTCTGAAGCTGGAAGACATCCTTTCAACAAGAACTTGTAAAGAGATCAAAACAAGCACAAAAACCCAATTCCACCCTATATGTGTCAAAAATAAATTTACAAGTGGGAATACTCCCCAGGAGATATGTTTTTCCTGGCTCCTCCATCATGCTAGTAAAATACAGCCAGCACTCAGTTTTGAACTTTTCAAACACTCATCATTGATAAACTACATGGAAAAGCCAACAGTTTGTGTGGGCTTAAAAAAAATCATTATTTAATGACACTCAGAGAAGTACATTTGGGGAGGGTAGTTCAAATGGCACCAGCTGTTCCGAAAAGGAGATTTAAAAGATCTTTGTACAGCATACAACAGAACTATAGACCATTGTTTGGTTGTCCCAAATAATGTGTATATAAGCACACACTTTCCTTCAAAGTAAACCATTTCCTTAAACCTCTCCCTAGTGATTGGACACAAATTAGTTTTGTTTTGACATTCAACATTTTGTTCCACTTTTGGACAAGCCAATAATACTGTAATCGCATCATATTTTAATCTCCCCTTTGACATGCTAAACATTGAGTTCTTCCAGTTTCCTGTTGTACCACACTTTTCTCCAGCTTTGAAGTCAATATTGTTGCTTTTTTTTTTGCATCCTTTGCTGTTTTTTGAACAGGGGAATCAGTTGTCTGGAATCTGGTGTCTCTGAGCATGGACAGACACAAAATTGCCCTCTTCCATTCTATTCTCCTAAGTTAAGCACATCTAAAAAGGGTTACGTGAGTCTTTGTTACCACATCATGCTGGCTGATCACACACTAAATTGCCTGTCTGCCTTGACTGCCTTAAGTTTCTCTTATAAATCTTTGTCTTCCACACTAGTTTCCATTCTCCAGGCAGGCCTGCATTTTTATGGGTTCAACTTTTGATGTGTTCAGGCAAGAAGAAACTTCCATTATGTCAAGGTTGTTAGGATCTCTTGTCTTCGTACTCTTCTTCTGACACTCCTGTAACCTTTAAAAAATTGTAAAACACATCCTTGTCTCCCAAATACATCAAAGCAGTTGTTGATGAGACCAATCAGCTAATGTGGAAGGAAAACGTTCACCTTATCTCAGCCCACGCTGACCTAGAATGACAAAACATCTCTCTAGCCCTATATTTCTGAAGGAACTCTTTGCATAGTAGAAATCAGGAAAAAAAGACTGGTTTGAACTTATTAGCTATTTGAGACTATGCTGTATGTCAAGTCTGTTTTCAGCTCTATTTACCAGTCCACCAATTCTGCACATTTTAATAAAAGAGATTTTGCAATTATTTCCAGCTCACTTGTGAAAATAATAAGCACTGGCAGGTTTAGCATTATCCCTAATAACATACCAAAAGCAAGACAATAATTTCTCCACTGATAGGTTTCTAAGTGATATGGTTTCTAAACCATATCGCTCTGATAGGTGATATGGTTTAGTGGAGGACTGTTAGTGTTAGGTCAGAGGTTGGACTTGATGATCTTGAGGTCTCTTCCAACCTAGAAATTCTGTGATTCTGTGATTGTGTAAGATCTTGTCAGTTTAGCAAATGCTTAATCCAATTCATGTGTGTGCTACTGATAGAATGCCGAATTTTTATATCACAACAGAACGTAAAGCTAACTATAGTGTCTTAGATGTGTATATGTACATTGTGTGTCACATATGCTAAAAAGAAATAAATAGTTTGGGAACACCTGGGGACTCCTCCAAGAATGAAATCATGTTAGTCTGAAAAAGTCTATTTCCTACGAACCTTTTCATTGACATTTATGGTACTTCTATATGCTACTTGTTTTCTTAATTGAATCTTATTTCAGATTTTAAGTTATTTTGTTTATGGTAGCATCACATTCTCCACTTTTTTATCCTTTCAAAATATTGCTATTATATTCCGCAAACTCTAGTAGAATATTTTTATACACTTAAATGTAACAGAAATGAGTATCAGTAGGCCACTGATCCTCCTAGTCAAGTCTTCACAATCTTTTGTTGCCGGTTGCATTGGTCTGCTGATTTTGAAGTGTTCACCATAGTACATGTCGCTCAACATCCTCCCTCATTACTATTGGACTGGAAAGTACTCCACCACATTCCAGTGATAAAAGCATGTAAGTACAGTGCAGAATCACTTAACTTCTTTTTTTTTTTTTGCCCTTTTTTGACTCATTATAAACAATTATATATGTATTTATATAGCTCATTTTTGGTACAGGGAATGATGTCTGCATATAAATTCCTGTTTTGACTTTTACATTTTACAAAGATGTTATTACATTGTTAAAAGGTTTCATGCTCCATTGCTAATGTACAGGCTGCCCCCAAACACCTCACAGAGGTGGTGGGCTCACTGTGCAGTTTATACACATTTTGTATACAATGCTAGCAGTAGGTTGCTGTTTTCTGGATGCCTTAGAAGGTGACTTGGCCTATGGATCACCTACTGAAAGCACGAGGCATGGCTCTATCACAGTCTGACCAAACTAGAGCTCCATGTTGGTCCTTACACAGGCTATTTCAAAATCCTGGTTCTCTGTGGCAAATACACTGCAAGCAATTGCCCCTCTAAACAGAATTGCCATTACTGATTGGGAAATTTCCTCTTCAAAGAACTTATTGTTTAAAGATATTCTTTGCATAAAAGGAGGAGTAACAATGGACATTTTAGGATTTGGCTAACTGCTAGTTTTTAGCAAAGCTATGAATGCAGAGATCAAAACTAGGTGACAGGAGCTGGGGAGGGCACTCTGCAGAAGGATGGAAAAGCACAGGCAGACTGGGGGTGATAGACCAGTGGCACTGTGTTGTTGGAGGCTTATGTAGATCCCAGCAGATGCTGGACACTAAAGCTGACCATGGTCAATTTGCTACAAGAAATCCACTGGAAATTGTTCTAGCCACATACTCACCAACCTGTTCTTTGACATGGTGAAAGAAGTTGTGATGGAAGTGGCATTTACCCAAGACTGATTCATGCTGAGGGCAGACTGAACAAGTGCAACCAGACTGCAAAACTTTGGGAGAGAAAATGGCAAGGAAACCAGCAAAACTGTTGCTTTCAGCAAAAAATAAATTCATCCCTTGTTCTGCCTCTGAAAAGAAATGATGTGAAGTGCTTTGCTTGCATTTGATAAACCATTGACCTGACTTGCTTGGGGAAGGGTGAAGCTTTGTGCTTCTGTTCCCACTGACAGCATTGCGGGCTGCCTGCTGTGCTCGCAGCTGACCCTCCCTGGCTGGAGCTGTCTGTCTCCGATTATGCTGTCACATGGCTGTCTCATGCAGCGAGCTCCCCTCTGCTTATGGTGCTCCTTAGGCCAGTGAACCGAGCTAAAATGATCCGGAGCCTTACTCTGACCTCGGGCTAATGAGAATTGGGAACAACAAAACAGTACCAAGACCCATGGAGTTACAGGGCTCCGAGAGGAAACACGGGCCCTGGGATGTTCACGTTGTTGCATATGAGACAGAATGGTCACGCTGACAGCAGTGTGTGCTAGCATTAAATCACCACTCAGGTCTGAAAACACATTATGTCAGTAAGGAAAATACATGAATAAAAGCAAACAGAAGAGAAACTTGCTACTCTGCAGAATTCATGGTAAAACATTTATTATAGTGGGAAAGAGGTTTACAGACAGAAATGGAAGAGCATGAGTCTACGGCTTAGTGCAGAAAATAAGCACCTCTGGGAAAGCCATATCCCCAAATCTGCAGCTGTAAAGCTGGTAGGGCTTCCATCTGACTCCCTGTTCCTTTCTTCTGACACCATCACTCCTACAAAAGGTGATGTGAAATATCCATGTATGTATCTTGCCACAGCAGCAAAGGAGGTGTGTGCATTCAGTGTCTTAATGCATGAATTATTAAATTATTAAAACATGAATATTATTTTTTTTTCTTATATAAAAAAGCTTTTTTGCTTTAATTGACTCACATCAGCAGAAATATCACATCACAGAGGAAAGCAGTTTGAAATACCGTCGGTGGGGACGCAGCCTGACAAAATCTCAAAGAAGAAAAATGCCATTACTTAGGAGACAAGCCACTCTGGGCACAGTGAAATCTTGTTGATCAGGGCTCGTGCAAACATCTACTTGAATTCAAGTTTCTGGTGACAGACTTAGCTGCCTTCATGTGGCAGCTCGAAAGGACAGATTCCCATGGCCAAATTGTTTTGGGTTGAAGCTATTTGACAGCCTCTGACCCAGCTCTCTGCCCAAGTTAAAATGTCACATCCAACCTTATTTGGCTTTTGAACTGGGAAGGAAATGACTTTTCTGTTCAGCCAGAAGTTTCTTTTATTTAATGTCCTGTGAAGAGGAACAAACTGCATATAACAATGACATCTTGTGGTAAGTGTTGAATTATTGACCTATGATTTAGTAGAGGACTGGATGCCAAATTTCATTACATCTTTCTCCCTCCATGCTACTCTGCATACAGCTTCTGGCCTTCTGACACACTGGATATAGAAGTCCTCTAGAACCTCTGGCTTGTTACTGACTTAAGAGGAAAATGATTTTGCTTACTTGGTTGTGTTGTTCTGGCTTAATACACAGAGCAGAACTTCATAGTAGTAACTGATTAAGGAATGCTTATCCAGATATTCATACATAAATTATTAAGGCTTTGGTAATCGTTGAGTGCAGAATGCCTTGGAGCTACATAGTGAGCCTGCTGCACTGTGGCTCTGCAGAGTGTGAGAGTAAATGGAGATAGCCTCTGTTGACAGCACAGAAAGCCCAACAGCTGCTGAACACCTGGCACGGAGTGTGCGAAGTCTTGGTGAGCAGCCACCATCGCCCCCTTGGATGGGGTACAGAGATGTTGGGTGTCACAAACTCCCTACGGCCCCCTTTACGTCTGCTTCATTTTTACTTGCTCCAGCTTTGGCACTTTGTTATCCAAGGTGTGGTAAAATGTGTAGGTGGCCAACTCCTCCCATGACTGTATGGGTATTCAAAGATCCCACGAAGCTCTAAACTTGGAGCAAGCCGCATGAAAGACTTGCACAGTCCATAAGCATGTCATTTTACTGGGTATCCAATTCTGCCTGCCCATAATCATATGCTTGCTGGCAGACTCTGCAGTGCTTGTTTTAGTCAAAGTTAGGAGGTTTTCAGTACAAACATCACATTTCCCCGTCAGTTTGTAGTCCTTATCAGCACGGAGGAGCTCAGCTTTTATCAGGGATTTTGAATGTTGACTTAATAGTAGCCATAAATAAGATTAGCTGGAACTGTTTAGGGATATATTTCTACAGAAGTGATAGGATTATGTTTTTCCTGTCATGTTTGGTAGATAACTTTGGGGCTCACTGTGTCTTCAGTTTGGTTCTAATGCAATACAGCTGATTTTTCTGGAGTTTTTTTGGAAGAAAAAAAATGTGCAAAACTCTCTTTTTCTTCTGGGCTGCAAAGGTCTCACAAATAAACTTCTAGTATATATGCAAGATATAAATACAGCTCTGCTATGTTTCTTCTTCCTAGGTGTGGAAAGAGGTAGGAAAAGACTGCACCACTCACGAAGAGCTGAGAGGTGATGGTGAAATCCCACATATGTAAGACAGTTAAGACATAATGCTGCTGTGATCAGTTGGTAGTAGTGAATGAGGAGTGGCAGATCAGTGCTGCTGCTTGCTCCATTTTGTGCAGAGGGGCATCTCTTCTCCCTCTTGCCCCTTTTGATACCAACAATCCTGGTGTTCATACCAGATATCAGGCACAACGTGCTCTACCTACTTCCATCAGGTCTGCACACATGCAAGTAGTAGACAGCTGCTGGATTCCCCAGTGATACAGAAAATAGATTAAGTTAATTATGTGACTATAATTCTATAATATCTAATCTAGCTGTAGTGATCTAATATTTTCCATGGGATGATGCCACCTATTGGACATCCTTAAAAGAAGCAAAACAGTTCAAAGAAAATTAATACTGATTTGTTTATCAGCAAAGATGGCTAAACTTTTGACTGTTTCATACAGTTCAATAGCTAGACAAAGAGCTTGCGTTGGAACATCCTGAACTGTGGTACTTCGTTAGAGAAGAAGAAAGAATAGAGACAGGAGAAGAAAGAATAGTTCCAATGGAACTACACAAAATATTTTTGTTTGTTTTTAACAAAGTATGTTGAGGGTGATCTTATAATTGACCATGAATTGCTCTTAAAACCTTAAAAAAATCTGTTTGGTAAATAAATGTACCTTGAGGTCCTCTGAGAGATCTTGACACTGCCCTTTCAATGCATTCTCCAGTAATGAAATGTTTCCTGAACTCTGTGAGATTTGGATGGAACTGTAGAAGCCTCTACAGAACTACCTGATCACATTGTAGCAGTCTGTAAGGACTCACTTTCAAATATTGACATTGCAGCTATCGAGGAAATTGTAAAACTCCACAAAGACAAGGGTCTGATTTTGCTCAAGTAGAATTCAACACTCAAGTATTGAATTCACATTCATTTAATAGCCCAAGCCAAAAATTATTTGTAATTAGCCATAAACACTCAACTTTTGAATTGATAAATAATCTCTTTGGCTTGAAAAGACTGTTCATAACAAAAAAAACAAAAAAACAAAAAAACCCCCACAAGATTTAGGCATAACAGTACTTCAGTTCATAGACACAATAAAGGAAAAATTAGTTTTTCACAACGTATCTGAAACAAAATATTATGAATTTTCAAAGTTCTGTTAGTCTTTTCTATTCCTGAAGAAAAACAAGTTAAAAACATTTGACAGTTAATATAGCTGAAAGAGAAAAATACTAACACATTTAATAATGCCTATCACTGTTGTATGTACTTTTAATTCCATATTTATAATTCAAGTATATTCTGACCTAAAACATAGGTGCAATTTCTGTGCGTCAACATATCCCAGACTTGATACTAGATGTGCAGCAGCAAAAATATTATAATCAACAAAGAAAATATATACAAGACTTTGAGTTTGTAGTACTACACATTTAAAAAAAAGATGCATGAATCATGTTTGATTTGTTGTATGTACAGATATACACACGATTCAAAGGCAGATTATCTACAAATCCAATCCTTTTCTTGCATTGGAAGAGCAATTAAGCAGTTTAACACAGACGTGCATGAAGTGAATCAGAAGAGCTTCATAGCTGTCAGGAATTAGGTTTACTACTGTTGATGTTCTTGATGTCTTTTTCCTTTTTTTCTTCAGATTCTTTTTTATTTTGCAAATATTATCCTAGAATCTCAAAAAAATACATTTGTTGAGCTTGTTCATATGCCCTGGAGGAAATGTTTTTTGATTATTTAACTTCTGCAATATGCCAGTGGTCAAGTGAGCAATTGGAACACTTCGTTTACAGAAACTTTGCAAAGCAATGATCATTATGAACCTTCATTCTTTGTATTTAACCAAGTAAATATGAATAGTGTGCAGATGTGTTGCTCCCACTCCTGTCATTATTATGTTAAGAGTCCTTGAGACCAAGTTGGACCTGATTTCAAAGTTATTTTAAAACTTGGCACTTCTATATGAAATTTCTTGCTTTTCAGTGTTTGACATATGGTCTCATTTCCTCTTGATGTTTGAAATATGGTATCCATCTCAGGCCTATCCGGCCTTTTACAAGTTGTTTGGTTTACAATCTTGACCTCAGCCTGCCTGTAACAGGTTTATTAATACAAAATTCTGCCCACCATGAAGGTCTGTTCAGAGCTTTGTTGCCTTGAAGGATCTCCGACCACATATTTTTATATAACTGAAAAAAAGAGAAAAATATACATAAAATAAACCCAGGAAAAGTATCAAACTTACTGGTTGAAACAATACTGTGACTGAATTTTTAGGTAATTAATGTGAATAATTATGTACAGATGAGAATAAATAAAAAGACTAAGCTCAAAATTTCAAAGTACTGCTAACATCAGATATCCACCCAAATCATTTACACCATCTTTGGCATAAGAACAGGGAAATAGTAATCTTTATGATTTTTTTGTTTTATATTTTACAGTAGTTGTATTATCAAAGGCAGAAATTTGGAAGCAAGTTAAATTAAGCTAATCTTTGCTCTGTCCAAACCTGAAAACTGTTGGAAAGCACCCATGCATGTCTGTTTTCACCTTTATTTCAACACATTTCTCAACAGTACTGCAACTTCTCTCCCAGATGTGCACTGTTCAGTCCGAGCATAAGAAAGTTCTCTCTTATATGCAGACTGTTAATTCATCACTCTTCATCAATTTGCAATTTAATGTGGAACAGTTAAAAAAGGTACATGAGAAGTACATTCTGTAGAAGTGTAATTTCAGAAACATTTGGCAGCTCATAATTAACTTAAGCTTAAAGTTTTAAATAACATTATAGAAAGGTGAGGGCTGTATCTTCAGCAGTAGGGCTGAATGCAGCACAATACCATATTAACTTAGTATAAACAGCAGTCTCATACAAAGTGAAAAGCCTTTCATCCACATCAAAAGAAGGATTGGCCCTATATATTTATGGTGATTTAAATAAATACTGACATAAATCCTCTGAGTATTAAATGTATTTTCACATTGATTATGTGGACTTATGTTAACTATCTCACCCATTCCAAGCTTGGCTTAACATTGTCTAACAATTTTTAATTAACCTTGAAATAAACAGAGACATAATTTTACATACTTAAACTGAGATTGTCAAAGTTTCTTTTAAATAAAACCTGAAATCTTATTCATTGCTTAAAGCTGCCCATAATAGATTTGGAAGCTTCTGCTTATGAACTGTGGCTTGTGGTAAAAGCCACTCCACTTCAGTGCACCATAGGTAATTCTGAATTAAATTCATTTTCCTGTTATGTTTGGATAATCTATTCTGTATCATACTGTAATTTGTACTAAAATGATTGCATTGGTTTTGATAAGTTGCAAAGATGGCACTGAACAAAGAATTAAATATAGACAGTCAGGAGACAGGGAGCTTTAAGTATTTCCTCTGAGTGAGGGATTGGCAGACTTTTTCAAACTAGAGTTGAAAATATATGCACAAGTTAAAAACCACAGACTTTGAGGCAGTTCAGAAAACCTCCCTGAATTCTGCAGAACATGGGTTAGATATCACTGCTTAAAATTACTTTCTCAATATAACTCAATTATTTTAGAAAAAAATTAGCAAGTATTTAGTATACTAGGAAGTCAGTAGTGTTTACAGTCCTAATCTGCTTATCTCACATTGTTCAATGTCTGTACTGTAACTGATGTGGTGGGTTGTCTGACGGTTTCCGAAGTCCTAAAATGCAGTGCTCTTGAGCTAAAGATACACAGTTGCTGGAATAAACTGACATCGTTCTTTTGTGATAGATTTTCTAAACAAAGGAAATTCTGTAAGAATGGGGTAAACTGCATTGATTTCAGTGATGTACATGGAAATAAATTAGTTCCAAATTCCCAATATTCATCCTTAATAAGTCTACATGGCTTCTGTATTTGTGTGAGTAATCAAGCCAAACTTCTTGTTAGAGTGCACAGAATAACCCCAGGTAGGGACAGCCAAATCCACCACATGACAGTTTTATCAGCTAGTAATAAGCAAACTCCAGATGACTGACAGAAAGGGAGTAGTACTCTAGGAAAAGATCACTGTGTACTAGCCATGTATTCTTGGCTATAGCATCTACTGTCAGCTTCTGCTAGAGACAGGATATTGGGTACCAATGGGCTTTTGGCCAATACAGATATTTTTACAGTCTTACAGATGATGTTCCTTCCCTTAGGATTACATTGGGAGCTTCCCTCCCTCTTTCATTAATTTAAGCCTCAAAATCTACAGGAAGGAAAACAAAGCTTCCTATCATGATTACAGTCCTCTTGTTGAGGTGGCTTGATATGTAGAGCAAGCCCTTCCTCCTTTATTTGTAGAGACTGTGTTACCAAAGTAATCATTCTGTGAGGTCAGTCTGTTCAGAAACATCTGGGCTGCCTTCTGTATTGCTTGATCACCATGGGAACTATGGACAACTTGAGACATAAAGACACAGACAAAGAATATTGAAAACCATTGAGTACACTTGACTCAGCAATCCTGTCAAACTTCCTGGCACTCTCCCTAGGCTCTACTGATTCTCTGCAGGGTCTCTCCACACTAAACCAAACTGCTGTACTGTGACACCAATCTCCACATAATAGTTATCCCACAGCTTGGCCCTGCTGAGTAGGGCTGGCCAGTAAGCAAGAATTTTTGTTTTACTGAGGCTTTGGAATGAAACACAGCTCTTTAAATATGCCAAGAAAAAAAAAAAAAAGAAAAAAAGAAAAAGAAGCAGAGAGGAACCATGACCTAGTAAAGCCAAATCCATGGTGCACCCACATCCTGAATCCTGCTTGTAGGTCTGGTGACACCTCTGAAAGGATATAGCAGATGTAGGTGGATATATAATTTATATTTTATATATATAACATATATATAAATAATATATTCATTAAAGCAAGGAGAGGTGCTCACAAAACACTGTCTTTCACATCTGTATTGAGATCACTGAGACCCCTTGGATAATGCTGTACCTTGTACTGGTTAGCAAGGGAAAACAGCTAACATACTGCTTGGTAAGACAGTATGTCATGGGAAGCACTTCATGACAGGTTGTTCCTACATGCTCACAGCAGAGTAGAAAGGTGAGAGTAAGGAGGAGATGCTGGCTTCTAGGAATCTATCACAAATGAAGTAAACAAAACCACAGTTTCATAACAACTTATCTGTCAACTTGTGACAATTGCTGTGTATATTCTACAGTTCTAGCAACCTTTAACCTTTGGGGCTTGTGTTTCCTAGGCTATGAATTATGTAAACATACACTTACATTGAAAGGTTTCTAGGAGCTTTGATTAAGCGGGATTTTTAATTATTCCGAGATTGCTAGATGAAAGACAGTGTAAAAGTACTTGGTGAGAATTAATGACTACACAACTGCCAAGGGTTACAAACATACTGGGTAGATTAATTAATTTGGTTGTGGTGTGTGCCAAACTCCCCTGATTTACTAGGAGAATGATGGCAAACTTGAACACCAACTTCCTCGACCCTCCCATATATGCAAGAAATTCCAAACAGAGCTGATTTTGGTGTTGAAACATGCTGGCTGTAATTGTACCTTGGAATATGTGACTTGCTGCTGGATGTTTGACACACTGCTGTTGAAAACATACCCATTTATGTTTGTCTTGAAAAATACTTACATATTTTAATTTTAAATTCTCCTTTCTCCTATTAAAATTAATATTTTATGAAAAATTAAGAGAAGGAACTAATTTCTACACCATTTATAGGTACAGCACACAAAACTGAGAGTTAAGTGAATACCAATAAATGCAGCACAAGGTATAACATTTTTTTTTCTTTTTTTTCAGTTCAGCAGCACAGGTCCCCGAAAGAGCAAATTCAAACAATACTGTACCACTTTCTCACTAAAGTGTATCTCCAGCAAATAAATTCAAAAGGTAATGCTTTGCTGACTTTGATTATAACTAATATAGTTTCTGCTGACAAAGGGTCATCTCTTCTTGCCTAGCTGTGAAGTGTTTTGAATACGTTATGGCTATTTACAGGACACATTATTCCTAATGATTAGACTTAACAGTACTAAAATAGGTTTTCTTACCTCACCACTAGCTTTACCAATGGGAGAGTTGAGAATGAAGTCAGGAGGAGCAAAGACATCAACAAGGGCAACTGCATCATCTTTCAACTGTTTAAAAACAAAAGACATACATTTGGCAACTTCTGAAGTTGTCTATGGCTGTGAACTACAGAACAGCATAAAGGTTATTTTCATAAAATACCAGATAGCTGTAACTTAAGAGAAATGCACAAAGAGACTCAATTTATTTTCCTGTTTTTCCTCCCAGTGAAATTGCCAGAAAGAGACCGTTTTCTAAAACATATTTCAACCAAGATCATACTGTTTATACACTTAAAAACAGAATTTAGAACTTTAAAGACATAACTTCTGGATTCTTCTTTTAAATTTTACTTAACTGGGAAAAATATGACCCACTCTGAAAAGCTTTTGTGTTGAGAAAAACAATTCATGAGCTAACACTATAATAAGTGTTAAATAAGGAGCAGTAGATTACAGTATTTTGATGGCTTTCCAACGAAGACTGCAAGACTACAGGTAAGAATTATTTTGTAAGTTAGACCATTTCTCATTTTCTGGTAAATAAGCTAGGACCAGATTCTGGCTCAATGAGTTACTAATCTTCTCTTAACATCAAGTTATTTGGAAACTACTGAGGCAATATCCTGCTAATTTATCCCTTCAAGTATGGAATATATGACGTCTCTTTTTTAGTATCTATATATTTTTTAAACACAACAAATAATATTGATTTGCTTACCCTGTAGCAAAGCTCCAGAATAGCATTCTGAATAAACCTACCAGCTTGTTCACCTGAAACATAGCCACCTGCAAATACATTCACAACAAAATGATCAAAGAAACTTACAGCAGTTAAGATTACACTGATACAATCCTTTTAGTAAGGAGTTAAAAATCCTTTTAAAAATTCTAAAAATCCTTTTAGTAAGGAGTTTACCAGTTCAGTATTCAAGAGACCAAATGCTCCTATATAATTGGATTGACTGTCATTTATTAATGAGCTGGCTGCAAAACCATTAGGCTAAGACACTGGAAGACTTTTGCATGAACGAGCATCTACTACAACATCTGGCTTCCTATCCTGCCATCTCCCCCAAGCACTGGGACACATCAAAACTTGTGAATCCTCCGTCACCTCAGAGCCAAGAGAGTCTTTTGGGTTAATTTGTAGCTTCAGATCCCTGCTCCTGAAATTTTTGTCCAGAATGAATGTTCTACGTTACACAGGCAGTAAGAAAATGCTGTAATCATGGGGTCCCTCCCCCTGCTAAAACACAACTTAGGAAAAAAATCCCTAATCTTTAGGTTAGGGCTTTTATAAAGTGACATGCATAATATGTAGTCAGGGAGCTGATCTCACCTTGGTAGAGCACAGCCAGATGTTTACTTAAAGACCAGAGTCCATACAGAGCACTGAGATTCTTAAGCACTGTCTGCAGAGCAGATGGTATGTTGGGGTCATGAGTGTAGTCATGGTATCTTTGTAAGACTGTTTGTTCAATAAAAGCAATGGCTAGTGACCGACAGTAGTACACCTTAGGAAAGAGAAGAGAAGGATATCGAGTAATGAAATACAAGGAAACAATCCTCAGCTGCTGCAAAATGGCATTGCTGTGGTGATGTCAGTGGAGAATTGTTGGTTTAGATCTGCTGTTGCAGCTTGAGATAAAAGAAACTCTAAGACGAAACTCTAGAAGAAAAAACTCTACAATTTATTTGCAAAGGTTTTATACAAGACTGCATGAAAATCCCCTTTAGAAATAATAACCTAATTTTCCGCCCTGTTCCAGTTTGAGTAGTCTCATGCCAATCTAAAGGGAGCAAAGATTGTATGCCTAAAATATAAACTGACTTGGCAGTGCGTGTTGCACCCAGACTGTATGGGAGCAATTATTTACATTAGAGTGAAGACCAAGCAAAATTAGGACTGCTAACTTCAGGTTCATTAATAAATCCATTTAACTCTAAAATTATAAAGGATGGTTTATATTTATTTAATATTATGTAGAATTTTATAACAAGGATAAAAATGTCTAAGGTGTTCAGTAACCTACTGAAAACTTACTACAGTCCATTCAAATAAAATCTGATCATGTTAGCATGAGTCTATTCAGTGCAACATGCTTTGAAAGAACTACCCAACTAATCCCTGCCAACTATGAGATCAGAAAGGCAAAAGTGACCACTTACTAATCACTGTTATTATGGAATATGAAACTTTAAGTGATTGTACTCATACAGAAAGGCTTGTCCACTTTTTTGTACTTCACCTTCGCTGTATGATGGTGCATGTGTGTCCTGTCATCAGACTGCTGACTGAAAACATTTTAGTTGAAAAGAACAGGAATATATAGAAAATAGAAAATAGTGGCTGGTTTGTAAGCTGATGTTTGCTTTTAGCCCATTTGTTTAATTTGTTTCATTTAGAATTGATTGGTTAGTTTTCCTTTTTTAAAAAATAACTTTATCATCTTTGCTTTTAAATCAATTGTAGCATTAAAAACGGGCATATTCCAAAGATCACTGTATCTCTATTGATAACTGTATAGTGGCATACTTATGACCAAGCTTGGATACAAGTATAAATTGCAAAATTGCTATTACCTGCAGGTTTAGGGATGACTTCCCCCTTAACAGACAGACTTTTTAATATCAGAATATTGAAATGTCAGTTCTCTAGTCAGAATGAAATAGGTTTCAATATCCCAAACGCAACACTAACAATTAATTCCCTATTCTTCTCTCCTACAAATTCTATTTCCTTCTTTACCTTTGCTTGCAATTCTGTATTGTTTCTATCAAGCTCCTGGCTGAAAAGAAATGGACCTTCTTGCTTCCTGAAGTTGGTAAACTTCCAACCAGTGTGAAACATCATAGACAAGTAATATAAAGTACTTTCTCCTTTCTGCCTTGGGACCTAAGTTAGGAATCTCTTCCAGATTTCCCATAGCAAGAAAAAATACTATATATTAGTCAGTCAGTGGGCTGACAGAGAAGTGTTTCTTCATGCCCAGAAAGTTTTAAATCAAATATGCATTAAAGCACACCCCGTAAATCATTTTCAGATGTTTTTGAGGCATGTCATTTAAAGTAAGAAATCCCTCTGTTCTGAAGATGAATTGTAGGGAGAAAAGAAAACCTAATGACCTGAGGTATATCAAAGCCTATCTCAAAAGCAGCTGTGTGCCTAAATTTCTTTAAATTTTAGCACACTGAAGAGAAGTGAGGTGAGTAATCTTCGTACCGCTGTGCAAACCATCCTCTCTGGCCCTGGCACAAGCCTCCCAGGAGCTGGCCAACTGACAAGCAATCAGATTTAAATTTCTGAAACTTATCTTGCATTCAGCTGTAGGGCAATTCTCATTCTGAATTTCACCCTGAAGGGCACCTCTAATAGACTGCTTCTAGGGTAAAAGCAGGAAAGGTTTCCTCTCCTCTACCAGTGGTTTTACATAGACCATCCCTTGTTGAAGCCAGACTGGATCTTTCTAGGTGAAGAGTTGAATTTTCCTTCCTGCTGCTTTTTAACGAGCTTTGCAGATAAGGTAAACCACATTGCCCATCTTCAGGGAACAGATCTCTTTCCTCGGTGACAAATGACAAGTCTTATTTTCTTGGATACAAGCCAGTTTCTCATGAAGGTACCAGAAGAATTTGGGGAGCTTGGGGATATAAACCAAAATTTGGAGTTAAGCCATTACTAGCTGTTAGAACTTTCTGGTGAGAGAGTGGATCTGCTATTTGTAGATTGTCAACGTTTCCTTTGCAGGTTCCAATGCTTTCAGTCTGGTATCTTTCATGAGTGCTTTGCACTATAGAAACTGGAGATGGAAAAGACCTATTAGGTCATCTAGTCTACCTATCTGCCAGAGCAAGATTCTTTCCTACAGTATGTATTTGGCCACAAGAGCAGATGGAGATGTAATAATCAGATGCCGCAGTAGATTTAGTAGTAGCAGATTTGGTTTTCAGAAGTTGTGATAAACTTATACACACCATCCAGCACATGCCTGCAACTTTTCTGAAAGGAAATATATCTTGGAAGACTTCTGCTGATCATAACTGTCCTCCTTCTATCATGTTCAATACGATTCATATGGACAGGAATTACATATTATAAGTTATATAACTTGCTGCTTTTTGCTTAAGGAAATTGTACTTCCTGACGCAAGAAGATAAAACTAAAAGGATCTGGCAAACTTGGATGAAAATAAGTAAACAAAATAGGAAAGCTGAATAAGCATTACCTGACAGTTGTTTTTTGCCTCAAAATCACTTTGCCCTGACTGCTTCTCCTTCTTCAGCTTTAGGTCACTTTCTCGGAGCAGGTAGCAAACCAGCCACTTATATGCTGCTAAAGGAACTGTGGAAAAGAGAAGTCACATGCAGATTCTACTGCAGTCTCAGTGTGTTTTGTTTGTTGGTTTTTTTTTTTTTTTTTACCTAAGATGAAAAGTGAAGATGTTAATCAATCCATTAACATGACACTTTGCCCATTATTGTAGCTGCAGTAAATAAATGTTGGGTAAAATAGATTAAAATGATACAGTGAAGACCTACTGTACCTGACCATGTACTAGTTTCAACTGTGCCCAAGCTAAAAGACAAGATATGTCCACAGCTCAATTTAGATGCATTTTCTGATTTTATCATTTTTTTTATCGTTATACTCTCTTCCATATTAAGACCTAGGTCTATAAGATACTCATTCTCTTCTGAAAAAAAAAAAAGAACAGAAGAACACACACAATCTGTGGGCCCACTCCATTTGCAGGTATGATGTTACATGCTTGCAAAACACATGACTTCTAACATTGCAAAGGTGGCCAAATGTAATTGCATGTGAATGAACTATTTCGTATGCTTGTGCTACATTTTTTACAGCAGCCTGGAACTATTAAGGGGACAAGTACGTCAGCATAAAGTCCTTTTAATAAATCTTGATAGCTTGTGTGTTAGCTGAAGATTTTATGTGGGATATTATCTAGGTAATTATGAGGGTTCACGTGCTGCCTAAACCTAGGCACCTGTTTTAAAATCCCAGCTTCTAACAGAATGCAACAATCAACAGATTCATATATTTTTCAAACTGTAATCTGGTCCAGTAGGAAACACAGGAGAAAATGTTTTAAGGTATCAGTTTGTGCTCTGTTGGATTTCGCAAGCTGGAGACATACAACAAAGAAGAAAGCATGCAGTCATTCTGAATTAATCTTTTCCTTATAAGCCTTTATATTTCGAATTTCTTCATATTTTCGCCAAATCTATTATGGTACCATATTACTACTTTGCATCCCTATCTAAAGCGGAGGGTTTTTGCAATTATTTGCGCACTGAAATGGTTACTGCATTCAGAATCAATATTACTGTCCCTTATGCATTAAGACTGGAGTTTCTTCATCTAGTATGTTCTCAGTTTCACAAATCCACTTTTGCTCATTTCCTTGTCACTATCTCATTATCTCTTCATTTCTCTGTTAATTTTTGCCTCTAAGGGCCAATCTAGGCTCACAGTGATACAGAAGTGGGAATGGCATGTCATGTCATACTTGATTATAGTACAGTAAGCCAGGAAAATTGTAGGGAGTTTTCTTTCACCATTACTCTTTTTTAATCCATGCAACCAGAAGCAATTGTCAGGAGTGCACACACTTAAAGCCCTTCCCAACATATTTCTAAATCATGTGTATGCTTCCATAAAATAAGAAATTTTAAAATTCCAAGGTAGTAACGATCAATGTCCCTCACAACAGTTTCACTTGAAAACAATGATGTAGTGGCAAAAAAAATGAGATTAGAAATTATATTTTAGAAGAACAAAAATGGAAGAAAAACAACTGATGCTATCTTTGATTCTAAAATTGAGGCTGGGGATAAAAAAGCATTATTTTGAAATGAAAACTGAAATGCATTTAATACAAAGAAAGTCAGCAAATAGCAATGTAGAAAAATATGTAATAAATAGCAGCAAGTGAATCTCCAATCTCTGGATCTGGAAAGAATTTAAGATTCTTGAGTTTAGAATTTAACAACAGCAAAAGGCTACCTGAGGAGTCCATGCAATCTTCAACACTAACGGCGGTGAATTTCCTGCCAAGGATGTGATGGTAGTCTTGCAAAAAGTTTATTGTTCCAAGAGGGGATTCGAAAGGCACTTTATCTGAAATACCAAAGAAAATAAAAGTGAACAGAAAAATAAAACTGATTTATGAGAAAATAAATTAGACTCTTTGGAACTAAAAACCTATTACAAAGCCATGCATACCCTCGAAAGGCCAGATGCAATTAGGACATAATATTTATTTTATTATGGCCTAGTCCAGCCAAATGAGATGGCCGACAAGTACTGAAAAAAAAATTACATCACTGTGTATAAGTCCCGTAAGATTCAACTCCTATTGCTGTGTTTTCCAGCTGGTAAAAATTACTGCTAGAAAACTGAAACAAAATCATCGATCTGAAGAACTACAACATGTACCGATGAAGACTGCAACCAAGTTAGGTGGTATGAACTGTTTTAAGTATAGTGAACAGAGCATACGCAGACTTACAGTGATTTTAGGAGTAGTTCCATTGAACTAATCTGCACTTCACAGGGAGTAAAATACTGCATAACATGATTAAGAATGGCAAAACATCTAGTTAGCTACTGCTAGACACAGGAAAAAGTATATTTCTTGCAGAAAGTATCTGTGTATTTGTGAATGTATCATATGATGGAGTCTGTAGCACATTATTTATGCTCTACAAAATAATTAAATGACTATCAGTTGCTTTCAGTATGAAATTACCTCCTAATTCCATTACCTACTCACTGCTGGGTCCAACACATGATACCACAATAAAAAACTTACCTCTTATGCAATTCATCCAGCCCATTAAGTAGTTGCTGGTTTGCTGAAGCAGGACATTGTTATCTCCCTCATATGTGCAGTTTGGATCATTGTCATTTCGAATTTCACCCAGACGATTCACTTAAAAAGAACAAGTGAACACGTTAATATATTGCAATGCACCAAAAGGAAGCTAAAACGGATTAAATAATTATACTGTAACAAAATGTAAGAGTTGTCTGTTCCTGTATAGATGGGTATTCTTACAAATATGTTAGCTTGAAAGTTCACTTGTTAGCTTGTGAAAATGTATACTGCAAAGACTTTAGAGAAGTGTGACATTCAACTTAGAAGAAGAACTTTCCTCTATAAAATTTGCATCTTTACTTCTGGAATTGAGACTGAAAAAGACAGTCTTATTTTGTCCAAGTGCTGCTGCAGATACTGCACAGGTTTAGTTCTTTTGATGTGGTATTAAGAATAAAATTTTACAATATGGATGTGAGGAAAAATCCCTTTCTAAAATTCGGATACCTTCCTAAAATTTGGATACCATGATGAAACAGTCAAAATACACATGAACATAATCATTTTATTTCTTATTAGTGCATGCAATAGTTTGTGACTTACTTGCAAGGTAACCATGCCCTCCACAAGCTTCTCGACACTCCTGGGCTGCCTGCTGAGCAGTCCAAGAAGACAGTGGTTTGCTGGCAGCACATAAGGCATGAATCTCACGTCCCAAATCAGCCTTGTAAAAACAAGCTACAAGTTAGTAACAATTTTCACGCAAAGTAGGCTTCTGACCAATAAAAGCCACAGCTAAGTGTACTGCTTTTAAAGAAGAAAAAAAGAAAAAGAGTAACCTGAAATACATACATACAAATTTCTGAGATATATGTAAGCGCAGAATCTTTTTTTTTTTTTTTTTTTTGACACCCCTCCCCCCCCCAAAAAAAGAAAAAAAAAACTGCCATAAAAAACTTGCTAGATACTAGCATTCTTACATGGAACTGGAAAATTTTGTGCCAGGTAATAGATACATGAGTACATGGCTCAGTTGTGCCAGATGAAATGGCATTGCACGGGATAGCTCACTGACTGCCGATCTATTCCTCCCAAAGATGGAGGAAGGTTGTTGAAGGTGGTACATCCAGAGAAAGCTTCTTTCTCCTCTTTGCTTTTTACTGCATTGACACTAATGTTGTTGGCCTTCCTTTGAAAGTGTGCTTGGAACCTTCATACTACATAAATTTTCTAGAGGTGTTGGTTTAATACCTCCTAAATTGTTTGAAAGCAAATAATGTTTTTTCTTTTCTCTTTTTTTTCCTTCAGATCTCCCATACAACAAAAGAAGTTCATAAGGATTACATTCTTAACACTGTCAACAGGCAGATTTTTCTGTTACAATCTGAGTTTTATCTAGGATTAGTGACTGCACTGGAGACCTCTAGAGATAAAATAACAGATCAAATAATCAAACAGACTCTTCTGTGGTTTGTGCAAAGAGGATAAATTACAATACCCAGCCACTAGTACAGGAATCTATCACAGGCTTTATTTTAGCTGGAAAAAAAATGAATGTTTAAGTGAGATGTGAGCCATGTGTAGCCACTGTGTAGGCCCTTACAGTAAAAAATGTCAACACACACACACACATATATATATATAATTTATATGCTATAAAAAAAACATACTGCACTTACTTTGGCTGAGAATCAGTCCTTGCAGAGACTGATTGATAGATCAAACTACTTTATAAAGGGGTAGCTTCTGATTGTCTATGAGTAGTTGAGAAATTCAGCATTAAAACTCAAAAATATTAATGTTTTTCTTTAAAAGCATATTTCCTAATGCATGAGTATGAATTGCAAACTCAAGCTAGACTTGCATGGTCTGTGCAGTAATTACGAATAGTACCATTTTAGAAAGTGATTGATATATGCCCCCTGCAATATCATTTTTATAACAGTCATAAACTGAATTTACATTATCATATACTTATGATAAACAATTTGCAAGGGGACATAGTCTTAAATCCCAGTTAAACCAATAAAACTTTAACCACTCCATTAAAACTCATCTGGGGGCTTTTCTTTATTCATCCATATTTCTGAGACATTGCTCTATCATTCTTGATCGTAAGACAGCCTACTTCTAAGTAGGTCCTTCACTTAACAAATTCCAGTTTGTTGAAGTAAGAACACAGCTAAGAGGAAATGTGTAGATATCTCACCTGCCTCTGACTCCTTTGCTTTGTCAATAAGCCTGCAAAAAATTCAACGAAGTTCTCAAACAGTGATTTGGAGAAATAATCTAAGACATATGCAGCAGCCAAATAAGGAAGAAGACGCCATTGCTAGAATAAAAATTAAATAGATTTGATTACAAACTGATAAACATATATACTTTGTAATTATATATATAAAAAATATCATTTGGGAAAAAATATTCCTTTTTACCTTTTTTAAACTGTAGATGTGTGTGAAGTTATGGTGAAGAGAACTTAGCAATAATAAACATAATTAAATATAACTATTCTGTGAATAAGTCATTTATATTATTCCAGTCCATGGATTTTGTGAATTTGTGATCAACATCCTACATCCTGTTAAACCAGTGCAGAAGTTCACTGCAGCTTTGGGGACCAATGACATTTTTTGCTCTGTGTTTACACAATGTCTGGCATACCGTGGCCCACCACCATGGCAGAGGGTATAACCGTTTCACTTGCTTGTTCATTAAGGAACCTAAGTTAGTAGTGCTCTTTGCACTTTGTGAGGAAAAAATAGGAAAAAAAAAAGCTGGAAAGAAGAAAAAAAAGCATCTTTATATCAGATAGAAGCCCATGAAGGAGAAGGGAAACTGCTTAAAGAAGCTTTTGTAGTAGAGAAAAAAGGGAATGAAGGTTCAGGAAGTAAAACCTACAAGTCGAGCAAAGTAGAGGTTCACAAAGTAGTGGGAAGTAGAATCAGGTTTATTTAGATGAGGTGGAAAGAAGGCAGCTTTTGCTAGAGCTTGTTGAAATGCATGAAAACTTAAAAAGTTGCAAGCCTGGAAAAAAGGCACCTACTTTGCAAGGACAGAATGGGTGGGTGCGTTATTCTAGAACTTCTTACCTAACAACCTTTCTCATCCAGCTGATCTGAGTTTTCTCACTCTTTTCTAGTTTACCATGACAATTTTAATTTCATTAATTTCGGTGTCACTATTTTGATTTGCAGTAGCTTTGAAACTGAGTGTCATTACATAAAAGTCTATAGATGCAAAGTCCAAAGTTTTTACCTGTGTTTGGTATTCAAGAACAGGTATTTCCTCTTCATCAGTTGGTCCAAACTGATGGCGAGTTGCTGAGAAGCGAATGGCTATTGATAAGGCAAGCTTTAAATTGGTTGCAGAAACTGCTGTGATCAGAATTCTGCCGATAGACAAAGATCCAAGAGATGCGCTAAAACGCTCTTTAACATCCTAAATGGATAAACAGCACAGAGTAAATGGAGGAGCTAACATTTAATTTGCCTACCCCACAAAAATACAACTCTGGACCATGATCAGAAGCCCAGAGGGCTGGACAATTTTATTTACTGACACAGTCAGTTAAGGTGTTCAGAAAAGATCCAAAGCAGTTTCTTTAAACTACTTTGGGACTGCTGGGGTACCTCAAAAGGCAAGAAGTTAGTAAAATCAATAAGGTGAATTTAGACATCACTGAAAGACAATTAGAAAATCAGCATTCATGTGACACTGTGTCAACAATCATTTAGGTACTAGTGCTTACCAACATATGATGCTCATGCTTTATCTTGTAACCTACTTGTGGCTTTGTATATTTACATATTAATGAAACAAAACTTTGATTCATACCTTGAAAGAACTGGAGTATTTCCCCTCAGCTGTGACGTCTCCAGCTATATTCAGGATGTTTTCTTTAGGTATCCTGACATTGTGAAACATGGCAAACCTGGTCACACAAATACACAAATAATGTAAAATCTATCTTGACATAGTTTAGGGTGTCTACATTTCAGAAAAAGGTCACAGCATGCATATCAGTAAACCCATCAAGACAGGTAGGTAATTTTTGGATAGTATGTATTCATACTCAGGCCAGTAGAGGAAATTCAATATGGGAAATTATTTCCTGTCACTCTTCAATTTGTTTTTCAAAAATTAAGATGATGCTTAAAAAACAAACCCTCAGGGGACCCTTTGAGCAACTCCATAAGAAAATAAGTTTAAAAAAAAAAAAAAAAACACAACACAAAACAACCAAACGGAAGAGCAATTTATTCTCTTTGAGGACACGGACAGTCTTCTGGGTAGTTACTTATCAGAGACCTTATACAGAGTCTGTGTGATAGACACTTTCAGCGACAGACTATAAATGTCTCAGTCTGCATGAACTTAGGAAAGTGAGTTAGCTTGGTGACTCAGTTATCAAAAAGCTTGGGAAGATGAACAATTCAACTCTCTCTGCTGCTAAAATCAGGCTGGGCCATTCTGACTCCACAGAATTCCTTGACACTGTTAATTCTGCTGAACCAAATGTCCTAGTGGCGTACTGAGGGGTTGCTCATTGCAGTCTAGAGAAGGTAATGCTTTGGAAAAGGGGGAAGCTATTTGTTTGAGTCTAAAATACAGATCCGTGAGGGTCTTCCATGTTTCTGTAATACAAATGAGTACCCAGCTGTATTAGTGCACTAAGAAGGAACAGAAAGGAGAACCTTCCTTTGCTTGAACTCAGACTAGGACTTCTATCCCCTGGAATGTGGCATCTTAAGAAGGGATGAGTGACATTGTCTTTTCTAAATTGTGGCACCGTAGCAGCAATAAAGAAGGAAGCTGTTAGAATAGGCAGACTGTCCTAAATACTCATATTCTTCAGGAAGAAAGAAGAAAGTGTATGAACTGTTTCACCAAAATGGGCAGTACAACTTGGCTCGATAGGGGTAATATCTGCTCCACTCACAAATATCTCAGTATCTAATAGCACTTGAAAAGCTGCATTTGTAATCAAAGCAAATTCCTTTTGCCTGCCAATACAGGCTGATCTACTTAATAAGGCCCCTGAGAGCCAGGTCTTTCACATTAATAAATTACATAAGGGCTGCATTGCTGCATGTGCTTTAAAATTACGAGTTGTTTCCAAGGAAACATATCTGCATACTGAATTTATTCAGCCTTAGAGATACAGGCTATTTTCAAACTTAGCCACAGAGAAAAGCAGGCTATCCTAACCAAGAACCAGCTGCTTACTGGCCTTATACATGTGCTTTATTAAGTGCGAGTTTCAGTGAGACAACACTACATAATAGAACCAAATTCAGAATTTCCAAAGATCTCATATACATCTTTGTTAATATTTCTTCTTATCACTGAAAATAAAAAAATCTAATTCCAAAAAGATATTTTGGCTAAATTCATGTTCTCTGCTCCCTGTACACCAAATAAAATTAATCACATCTAAGAAAGTATAGCAACTCTATTATTTTTAAGCAATAGCATGCACACTAGATAGAATTGGAACTTTAAAAAAATTATTACTTTAATTACAAGACAGCGTGTGTGGCAAGGATTAGATCCCTAGTTTAGCACTCTGCTTAACTAGCTGTACATCCACAGAACAAGAAGGTGCCTTCTCCTTTGACCTTACAACCAAAGCGCACGGCAAGAAGCTACGTATATGGTTCAAACTGTGAGGCAGACACTATCTGCTACAGAATACTTGCTTGATATATCAGCCAGTCACAGTAGCTAATCATTTCTTAATCATAACCATTTCTTACATGCCATTAGAACAAATGAAAACTTTAAGGAAGAATTTGAGTGATGAAAGGGAGCCTTGTAGATTTTTCTAAAGAATCCCTCCCAAGCAGGAAAAGATGCATGGAAGAATGCAATGAAACATCATTTAGAAAAGCTACTGAATGGCAATAAAAACTGGACTCATGAGCCAGGTTAGAGGAAAAGTTGACTTAACAAAGATATGATACACTCTTTGGGCACAGTTTTCGAAGAAATTTCAAAAGGCTCCAACTCTTGGGACTTCTATTTGCAAATATACATCTGGAGTAGGTTTAGACCTGTGTATGATGATGGCAAGATTCATAGTAGCATTAATGATGAAGAAGATGACAAATTGTCCTTTAGAGTTTTAGACTGTAGTGATTAGTTCAATTCATTCAACAATGCTGTGCAATTGTAGAAAGTCATTATATTGATGTGTGCTTGAAGCTCTGTATCTACTAACATACACATCTTCCATATAATAATAACCTGTTTTTAGGAAATGCAAGCCTGCTTACATTGAACACATCGTGTGTCAAACAAAACAGCTAGCAAAATAACCTGAACAGTTTAACTCCATTTCTTCAACTGTAATATAAACCTAAAAACCTAAACGTAGAATAAGTCTTTATGGAAAGAGAAAACCTTGTAGAAAGTTTTGTTATAATTTGTCAGCCATAAGTGTAAGGTAGGTAGTTCTGCACGTTATAAAGTGTTACCTAGAATTATTTTGATTAAAAAAGTATACCTTCTTAGTATCACTATTCTTCATAGCTAGTGAACAAGAATACTAAATTTCCACTCATTATGTAACAACCTATTTTCTTATTATGAAAATTGATTCAAATAATGCACACTGAGACAGGTTTTAGAAGTTCAGATTTCTTTCCTTGATATTGGCCATTAAAGATACTTTATTTCCTTCTTTTTCTGTAAGCTGCTATCAAAATAGAGGCATGTAAAATGGCAAAAACTTTAAGAAGCCAAGGAGAGAGATAGAATTAGCAATTAAAAAACCCACAGAAAGCTCCCGTGCATTAAGAAATATGATATATTGCCTATAAGCACCAATGTTGAAAATAAAAGCAGAACCTTACAGGATCTGGGAGTTAGCCGACGTTATGAAATGACTGCCAACTGCTGTTATGCTCCCTCTCCAAGAATTTTGCTATTTGAAATTATTAGACATGCTGGCCAATTTGAACTTGATATCGGAACGTATTAAAAATAAATAGTAAGCTTTAATGAAGTCAACGATCACATTTCTAATGGTTATTAGCCTAGGAAGCACAGTGAATAGACACGGACCACATCTGTCAACGCATTTAGGAGAAAATCTCCTCAAGTAATTGAAGAGAAGTAGAAATATCTTACAATAATGGAACTGTATATACAGCCATGGGGATATCAAGTACCAGCAAGTTTGGAAAATGTCTATGTTTCACATGGTGACGACAAGACCATAGGTTTGAAAGCTACCCTAATTAGGGACTCTTCTGCACAGCAATTAGTGTGTCTGAGATTAAGACCTCTCTGCAAAAGAGACAGATAGCTGCCACTTTAAATATGTTTCACAGAGCTCTAAAGAAATGTGGAATTTTACAGAGTCTAGTACACAGGTAAGACAACTGTATTTCATACATTTCTTCTACCAAGATTAGCTGAGCAGAGTGAAGCACTATTCCAATAGTAACATTTTTGTTTGGGTTCTTTGGCTGGTGGTTTAGGGAACATTTCAAGTAAAGTTAATCTTACTGACTTTAAATCATGCAAAAGTAATTCATCTGGTGTGCAGTAATGCTGATTAAAAAAAAAAAAAAAAAAAAAAAAAGAGCAGCTGGAAAAGCCACGAGCTCCTTTTGCCAGTACTAAATTAATAAGCTGTTACCTATGGTACAAATAGCTCAAATATGTTTTAGTGAATTTCAGACCCACAAAAATGCCTGTCCTGCCAGCTTTTATTACTGACTATGTTAGAGATGGTGCAGTGACAGTTCTGTCAATCCTTTTAGCCAGAAACAGAAAGCAGGTGAATGGTATTGAAAAACTGCAAGTCAAGTGATCTCAAGGCTGTTTATGAGACACAGTAAACCTTGGGAAGAATAACATTTAAGAGGTTTGGTGAAAAACTTGTGGAAGAGAAAGAAAACAGCTGCATATTCCAGACTGAAACTCACAGAAAGGTTAAAGTTGAGAAGAGTTACAGTGAGGCTGGGGAAAACTGAAACGCGGTATTTTAGCTCCAGTTTCTACGAACAAAACTCATCTAAGAATGCAGGTCTGTAGAAGAAACATTCAACAACAGTTGTAAAACAACAGAGGCCTCCTAATCCTATCTTAATGGACTTCATGGAGACACAAAAATCCAGTCACCCTACAGTTCTTATAAGTTAAGTGCCAGTCAGGCAAGGAGTTCCGGATGGTTAGACCCCTGCAAAAGTCAAGGGCAGACAAAGATCTGCTAAGGAAAAAAAAAAAAAAGAAAAAAAAAAAAGGCTGTCTGAAATACACTACAGATGTGAGGCCCAGTTTCTGCAGGTGATAAAACAACTTTGTGATCAGATCTGAATCTGCCTTTCCCCATTAGTATCATCAGTGCCTGTCATTGTGACAGTCATCACAATGTGGCTAACGTGGCTAAACTGGCTGTGGCTACGCTGTTGTTGTGTAATTGCAAGTGATAAAAATGAGAAGGGGATAATGCATTTAGCTCTTTAGCGATGTGACCACATCTTAGCCATATATGCAGCATTATATGTCTCACCTTGACCATAGAAACTAAGTGGAGAGGGTGAAACAGGGAAATATCAGTGAAGCCACTGCAAAATCACTGTTTTGACTTAAATTGCAAATATACAAGACATGCCTTACAAAATATTACTCACAAGGACTGACGGTAGTGTATTCAGGTAACTTAAGTTCATGTACAGGTATTTTAGCCATTATTTGTATTTTATAGCTGCTTCATCCGTTCTCTTCAGACACTTGTTTGTGACTCTGGTCAGTGGCTCAAGGACAATCAAAACCTCAAACAGGCACGAGCTTGTTCTTTCTAGAGAAGCACAACTGATACTTGCTTTCTTATTTACATCCCTATACTGTCACTTTCCCTGTACCGGAACAGCCTCTACTGTGGCCTTGCAGTGAACCAGACCTGACAAATCATCTGCTTGAAAATAGACTTTTCTTTTTTTTTGAAGAGATTAGTTTTCAGACAGTTCCTGTTCCCTAGCTGAGTCCACTGCACAGCACAAATGTTTGTCCCAGCACAATGAAAAAGGCAGTGTGGGAGTAGAAACAAACAACCAAAGGAGCATAGTGTGCAACTTATCTTCAGCAACTACTGCTTTGGATTGTAAAATGAAGCTCCAAGAGACTACTTAGGCTCCAAAATGAACTTCAGCTCCAACCTTCCAAGTGAAATAACTGCAAACACTGGGAAATCTAAGATTTAAAGGCATAAATTCTGGGAGACAAAAATCCTTTGAAGGACTAGGCTTTCATTTGGTCTACACTTCACATCAGCAGTAGCAGAATCTTAATTTATTGTGTGTTTGTTAGTATTTCAATTTCATTGCCAGTAATTGATTAAAATTCTGCTACTGCTACAGCTACCGATAAATAAATTAGCTAAACATTTAAATGACATAATACAAAGGACTTGAATTTGTATGATGTATGAAATCTCTAGCATGCAAGGAGCATAGCAGTGAGGGCTTTCAGAACCCTCAGTCTCTTACCAGGAGGGCTACTTTTACAGGACTTACTGCTTTTCTGCCCAACAAATCCCCTTTACCCATTCCTCTTGGGTTTTGTGTTTAGTTTTCAGCATTCAGAACACTGAATCTAGCTTTGTTGTTACAGAACACATTGAATGTCACAGCAGGTTGTATGTGCAAAGATCACATGTTAACTGTATATGAAAGGTTTTTAAACCTGCTAGTAAAAAACCCTTTGGTTTTCTGAAGTCCATCATTAAATTAGACACCACTAACAATTCCTGTTCACCCAGAAGACCCTTTTTTCCCCTACAAACAATTCAGTTCAAATAAACAGTTTTCTCTTTGGCAGTGGTCTGCTGTATTGTTGATAGCTTAATTTCACTAGTTCTTCCCTTATCGTAGGTTTTGTCTGCTCAACAGACCGTATCCACACTACCAGTAGATACAGCTGAATGAACTCCGAGCACATTTTATAAAGACAGGCATGTTCAGCACTATTTAAGAAACACAATTAAAACTAATTTTCAAACTCTTTCCAACATAAATTCAGGTGGGCATGTTTTCTTTTTCTGAATTGGAAAAGCAGCAGTTTACTCTTAGTTACAACAGGATATGAAATTGTTTCACTACTGATTTGGTGGCAATCATTTACTGAGGTGCACTGCATAATAGGAAGGTTTGGTAATGTTACATTACCCAGAGTAGACAAAAAACAAAACAAAACCAAGACAAAGGGGAAAAACAGAAATGGCCATCAGCAATTAACAAAGCTCTTGTTTTATGTTTCTCAACTTCTGTACCTGCCATGCATGTTACTGAAAAGCCCCTGGATCCTAAATACACTTTTTTTTTTTTTTTTTTTTAGTGCTTGTTTTTTTTCCCCTGATATTTCAATTTTGGGACCACAGTGAACAGCATATTTCACAGAGTACTAGACTACTAGCAACAGGTGGACATTTTTGTATTATAAAGACTGAAGCACTTGCATCCCCTAGTGGCAGCCCGACTTATTTTTTGGAGTCTAAATTTAACGTAAGAAAAAATGTAGTTCTATCTTTAATCATGTATGTATTTATTACACCAAATTTTGTGAATGACAAAAAGAAAGGAAGATAATTTAAAATACTTTGAAGTGATTTTTTTTTAAATGTTATTCTAGTTAAATAACATTCTAGTTAAGAAGTTATGAGAATTATTTAGAAAGACAGACTCTGAAGGAGCAGGTTAGTCAGTTGAATTCACACCACAAAAATTCCCACATTATTTCTGCACCTCTTACTGAAAACATTACACTTTGCATTAGAATGTATCAGTCAAACTTCAGCCAAATGACAGAGGAGATTAATCTTCTAAAACCAAAAGGGACTGTTACAATCACCTTCTCTGTTCTCTTACATAGCATAAATCAATTACAATGTTCTCTGTTCTCTTACATAGCATAAATCAATTACAATGTCCAAGCAAACTAGATTTTTTTCTCCATGCCCTACAAATATGCTCATGAGTTTAAATCTGTATACCCATGTTGAAAAGGCGTATCATAAACTTCGAGTACAGGAACAAAATCTGACATCTCTATCAGTTTCCTTGTACTCTGATCTTCACTCTGACCATTTATCCTAAGTGTTACTCTATGGAAATATATCTGATTTACTTAAGTGCCAATGGTAGTCGAACCAGAATTCATGTGTACATTCAAGAAACTGGCAAAGTATGAGGTAGAGGCTAATGCTTTTAATAACAGCATAATGGGATCTAATACTTCATTAGATGAACATATATACAGATTATATGCCAAATTTTCATTTTTTTCTTTTCCATCCTCATGTTGTGCTTAAAAAAAATTAAGAATGCAGCAGAATTAAGAATGAGCAGCAGATTAAGAATGAGCAAATTAAGAATGAGCAGCAGAATTTGACTATTTCTACTGAAATACGAAGCTGGATTACATTTGGAATACTCAAACCCATGTTGCTGTGCCATCTGGTGGCTACAAGTTTGTAATGCAGATGCAGGCAAATCCCAACTAAACCTCCCTAAGCTCTTGTCCAGGCTTCTTCTCACATCCATCCCCTATAAAACTTCATTTGCTGTATGCTTTTCTTTCTTCTTTCATCTGTGTCTTTATGCTACAGAGCATCAATAAGAATTATGTACATACACAGTCAGAGCCACTATTGACACTACAGGTTATTTGGGGTATTAGGAGGAAGCTGGTAAAGACAAAAACTACAGAACACCTATGACCTGCTGGAAAGCCAGTCAAAACCATTACATTGCAAAGAAGGATACCTTAAGATATCTGCTTTTTGCAGATGGCAATGGCACCCTGCAATGGTACACTATGTAGGACAACAACTGAACAACAAACTGAATCAACTGAAAAAAAGTAAATTGCAAGCTTAAAGAAGTGATACCCACTAACACCCCCTTTATTATTTCAGATTTCTTGTCTTTAAACAGAGCTGTAAAAATAATGTAGGGTTTTAAAAAACAATTTTAAAAATTTTCTGTTTCTATGCACAAATCTATCAGATTCCTTTGGAGAGCAGAGACACAACACGGCCACTCAATGCCATGACTGAGAAATGAAGTCCAGGAACTTCTTTATTTCAACTGTACACATAGAATACAGAAAAAGTAACTAACCTCCTCATCTGAACTGGACAGGGTTAGTCCAGGAACCTCATGGCTTAAACAAGACAGGTAATGAGTCTCTGACTTGTGTCAGAGATCCAGACCTACTTGGTCACAGCAATCTTACGTCTTTACTAACAATAAGCCTTGTCTGTGGTCCTCTACTAGCCCTGCTTTGGGCTGGAAATTAATGTGCCAAAAAATTGAGAGCTTACACCCATGTGGATTTACAGACTAACATGCTTTAGCTAGTAACTTTTTTTTTTTTCTTTTTTCAGTATTACTGTTGCAGAGTCTGACTATAAAACCACTCAGTAACATCCACAGAGTTATCAGTGGCACTTCATACTCTAAAAAGTGAGTGAAATAGAAAGGCTGAAAGTTCCAGGAATAGAAAATACTGAAATTCAGGATTCTTCAAAATTGCTATTTCATTTTATTTTATTTTTAAATAGCAACATATTAAAGCTACTAGCTACCTCAGCCCTTTCACCATCTCAGAAGGACAGGCCGAATTGACCCAGGATTTCAGGATTTTGCACCACTATGCATGATATAATGTAGAATGTTTCCTCGTTCAAACAGATAGACTTACCCATTATCTAAACCATTCTGCCCAATTTTCTTTCCTATGTCACCTACCATCACACCTGGCATAGGTAGGAGAGTTTTTATATCTCGAATCTGCATAGAAGAGGAAGGAAACATTAGTTCAGTTGTGGGACAATTAAAGTTCTTGGTTGAACTCTTCAAACAGTGAAAATATTCCCAATTTGTATTCTGTCATTAATACTAAAGAAAGCTTTCTGATTTTCCAGGCACATAATCCTAGATATACTTACATATCTGTTCATTCAGGACATAGGTCTCATAATGAAAATTACTTAAGCTAATAACAATACTTTGTTAAGTAAGCCTTAACACAGATCAAATTAACATTGAAACCTCCTTCAGGTGCATGCAGAGAGCAGGAACCAACCTAACGTCAATGGAACAATCAGCTTCAAGATATTCCCTGACCTTAAGCCTTGTCCAAGACTTTCAGGACTTCATATAGCATAGGTTATTTCTAATTGTATAGGCAGTGTGATAATCTTTGGGCTTCTTACCTCTTCTGCATTTTCCAGTTGCAGAAAACTGACATAAAATTGGCTGAACAACCAGCACAAAAACACAGTGAACATTTTAAAATGGTGCACTGTTCACAATTGCTATTAATATTGAAGGCATTCATTAAAGCCGTAAGGAACAGTATTAACAGAAGATCTTTAATTTAATACCCCTCACGCACACAGAAAGACAACAGATTAGCAATATTCTTATCCTACCTGTACAATAAAGGAATGTAATCCTTGGCATTGTCCATCAGGAGTATACAGTTGGGCATACACAACTGCATGGGTGGCGTGTTTCCCCATATTACCAACCCAGAACTTTGCAGCTTCAAAGTCAGGTGTATTGATGATAAATTCCTGTAGCCAGCAAAAAAGGAGAAAAATGATTAAAATGATAAAAACTATTCATGGACAAGATCATGTTTTGAAAGCATCCATTAGCTGCCAGTATTTCATCCTGTACTGTGCTCCAACAGTTAAAATCTCTCTTACAGTGTTCAACTTTGGAGAGAACTCATGTGGCTAGGAAAACTTTAAAGGAGAAAAAGTTAATGACTTGACTGTAAGGCCTAAATTTCAGCCTTTAAATTGTTCATTGAAGCAGTTAAAAAAGTAAAGCAAAGTGATGGACTCTGAAGCATTTCCTAGATCTTGGGTTAAGGTGAGCTGAGTCCACTGTGGGCTGAAACTTGTGCAGGGACCACCTCCTTCTTGTGCAGTTTTCTATGGAAAGGAATGCTGGCTAATAGTGTGAAAGCACATTTTCCAGTTTGGACAACTAAGGGACCACGAGTAGAATCCATTCTCTAGAATACACGTATCACAAAATGCAGACATAACTTCAACATTCAGATTTTTAGATTACAAATACTGTGTTTTCTGAAGAAGTCTAACAGATTAACAGTGTTAAGTATTATTCCTGTGCATTAAAGACTAACCTGAGTGCTACGATCAAATGTGGCAGTGGTCCGTATGCCTTTGGTATTAGTTCCATGGCTGAGTTCAGTCAGAGCAAAACATCCAAAAATCTAAACAAAGAGATATAAGGCACAATTCAAGACTAGTTTATTAGAGTAATTAAAACCATAAGACATGAAAATGATTACTAATTTAGCTCTTGAAAAGTGACTTGCAATTACAAAATCTACCTGCAGTAGGGTAAAAGATTTTTTTCCTTTGCTGATGGCTGATTTATTCAGACAGGTACAGATTGTTACATGCACTGACTGATAGTTTTCAACTGTCTGGGCTGAGAGAACTCTTTTGCGATGAAAATGGGTGAATCATATGAATATATGCATACACTTGATTCTCCATCAGTATTTGGGAACACCAGCTGTTTGAGGTCACACTGAAATGTAAATATTGCACCCTTTTACCTAGGCTGGTTTGGCCTGTGGTATTCAGCTGTAGTTACCAAACCTTTGAAAAGCAAGTGAAAACAAAAAATGTAGGAGTATATTGCTGTCTGTCTACTGCTGAGACATAAACAATTTCAGAAGATTCAATAAGTAAGGAAGGTGAATGGTTGACAAAGAAACAAGATAAAAAATGATAAAGAGATACAAAAGAGGCATGATGCTCAGTTTGAATGCACTCAGGAGTATTTATCTTGCAGAATCAATGAGGGTCAGTCAATGAGTGAATGCTGAGCAGGAGAAAATGTTCAGGATTGGCTCTTTCTGTATCAGGTAGGCTGGACTTAGTGTACAGAGCACTTGGTTCTGGGTCTCCTCTGGAATCTCTGTGGAGTTTCTGTGGCATTAAGAGATTATTGTTTTCTGGTTTATAGTATTTCTATGGAATATTTACAGCATCATGCCAAGGGCTTGTGTTGCATAGCATATGATGTAGATGTTGGAGTCTTTGAGAGTGCAAAATTTGCTACCATACTGTTAAAAGACACTGGGCAATACCAAAACTGGCATAGTGTCATCAATATTGCCTTTTTGGGAGAAGTCTGCAAACTTTGGCTGCATGTTAACTTGGACAGTCTAATACAGATTCAGGAACTGGTATGACAACTAGCAGTGAGAGCAGTCAAGGCTCAGTGCTTCAATGTGCTCCTTGGTCTTCTTTTTGCTATTTAGATCAGTACCTAAGTAGATCAGAAATAATACAAAGGTACAGGTAATGCCATGTTTCTGACAATGCCCAGTTCTCACAAGCTATTCAAAAAAATTTACCTCCATGTTAAAAACTTTTCCCAGTAGGTCTGCAAACCTGTTTGAAGCACTCAAAATTGTACCTGCAAATACCTGTAAAAACAAATAATGAATGAAATCTGTAATCCCATGATAGAAAACACAAATATATATGCAATAGTGATATCCATTAAAGAGACCAGGGAAAGGTTGGTTGCATAGTAAACTACTACTTAGACTATACCTTAAGGAAGCAAGTCAAGACTTGATCTTGTCATGAACCCTTTGCAGAGGATTGAATACTCTCTGAAGAGAAAACACTGAGTAGTGAGACCAAAGACTAAATGGCCCATTGCTGCAATATTTTCAAGACAGGATCAACTTTTCACAGTTTGAACCTGTTCAAGCCTTCCATGCAAACTCTTAGAAATGCATAGTGAGCTCACTTTCCACTTTTATATGTGGATATCTCCTTGAATAAAGCAAAATTTTCAGACTATTCTGGTTTGTTTCACAGCAAATAGATTGGGACCTGAAGGTATCTGCTTCAGAACCAGTAAGATTATTGTTTTTAAATCTACCTTCAGTTTTTCTAAAGAGATGTTCATATAACAGAACCCCAGACCTTCCCTGCAGTGAGTAATAATTTATTAATTCAGCAAATATTATTTGACCACCTATCATAGAATCATAGAATGGCTCGTGTGGAAGGGACCTTAAAGATCATCTAGTTCCAATCTCCCTGCCACGGGCAGAACACCTCCCAATAGATCAGATAGTGGGAAGCTACCTATGTTAAGTATTCCTTCTGAAGTATTTTCTGAGAGACTCATCCAGGGGGGACCTGATGAACAGAAGCCCAGCCACTGATGTCAGTGATAATCTCTACACTGATTTCCATTCCTTCTGGATTCTGCCCTGAATCAACACTCCAGGGGATGAGGCAAGGAAGTTTCTGATACTTGTCTCTGGAGTGTAGAAGTTCTTTTGGCTACTGCTGCCGTTGAAGAGACAGAAGAGGACACAAAAGGTGGAACTGTAAGCATCAAAATACCTTTCTGTACCTGTGCCCATACTGTTTCACCTTTACTCTCCAGGCAGGATTCCAACAGGGATGGGGCTAAAGGACAAAGATCTACTAATATTATCCCACAGTTCTGTGATTCTTCCAAACAGTTAAACAGAATTTGATTTTTGAAAACAATGGACTGGGAAAAATATTGCTTTAATACAACAGACAGAAAACAACAGATTTATGGTATTATAAGACACTTAAATTCACATATATTTTTGACCTGTACTTACACCGCAATGCAAGAAATACTGGAGACACGGAGACCAATCATACATTCCTATGCAGATAACCATATTAAATATTTTTAATGGATTCTCTATGATCTCTTGCTGAGTAAGAAAGTCATACTCAAAGAGTCGTTTACAGCGCAGGAACGTCAGCTCCTGATACTTCTCACGGCTCAAATCTTCTCCAGGACGATGTACGAAGAAAGGATCATTTTCTAGAGCAGAGAAGATTCTGTTCTTGAGGGTGGGAAAATGACATGAGAACGTTAACACAAAAGCATCAACAAAACAAGTTAATGTTCTTCTAGGATAATACTAGGCCTCAAACTACAATAGTTTGATAGATTCAAGTTTATAAAGGCAAAATCCCCCAGAATTAAAAATATATCAAAATTGTCTGTCATTATATATACAGTTCATGCAGCTAAATTTTACAAAAGCTCCTTTGTCATGAAGTAACAAGTGTGAGACTGATTCATTCTGAATGTAAGAAATTGGTTTGTTAAAAGTTACTTGCTTTTTATAGCCACTTAATTATTTCACTATGAAGCTGAGGGAAGGACTCTAAAGAGCAAGGGCTCTCAATCTGAGAACAAAGGCAGAACTCCAGGGGTAGCATCCAGCTAAAAATATGCTGTAACGTTAAAGGCTACCACAACTGTTCTGTTCCCAGGTGAAAGCAGAAATGTACTCCATTTAATATGTAAATGTGCACATCTTTTAAAATTTTTAAAATATCTTTTTTTTTTTTTTTTTTTTTTTTTCCTTAGTTAAAACCACAGAATTATAGAATAGCTTGGGCTGGAAATGACCTTAAAGATCATTTACTTCCAACCCCTGGCCATAGGAAGGGATACTTCCCACCAGACCAGTTTGCTCCAGCCTGGCCTTGAGCACTTCCAGGGATGGGGCATCCACAGCTTTTCTGAGCAGCCTGTTCCAGTGCCTCATCACCTCCACAGTGAAAAACGTCTTCTTTATATCTAATCTGTATCTATCCATTTTTAGTTTTAAACATTACTCCTTGTCTTGTAACTACAGGCTCTAAAGAATATGTAACAAAGTTCTCTAGCTTTCTTGTAGGCCCCTTTAGGTATTGGAAGGCTGCTCTAAGGTCTCCTTTCTCCTAGCTGAAAAATCTCAACTCCCTCAGCCTGTCCTCATAGCAGAGGTGCTTCAGCCTCATCATCATGGCCCTCCGGTGGCCCCAATCCAACCGTTCCATGTCCTTCTTGTGCTGGGAGCTTCACAGCTGAATGCAGTACTCCAGGTGGGGCCTAACGAGAATGATATGCTACAGCATTTTTATCACCTCATATCTCTGTCTTGATCATATGATATCCGCATCTTCTTAAATATCTTTTGTGTGATTTAGAAAAAAAAATAATAAAGTGTCTTAGGCAAAATCTTATTTATTTTTTTTATTTTTATTTTTTTTTAAGTCCCTTTCCCCTCTCTGAAAGGAATGTTGCAGTATGAAGGGAAACAAACAAACAAAACAGATGATTCCCCATGCTCCTGTTTCAAAGTTAGGGTTATTCTCTCTCTATGAACAATACCATTTGCTCAGTTTCGAAACTCTTTCAGATGCAGAGCACTTTCTCTTTTTTTTTTTTTGCATACACTTTTAAATATATGTTAGATACAAAACAAGGCATTTTTGATTTCTTTGATCCTCCTTCTAAGATTTTAATACCTACAGTGCACCTTCAATATTAGCTTAAATCTACATAAATCTACACAGCAAAAAAAGGCAGTTCTGTCTCCTCCTACATCTTCCACATCATGCATTCCCACACCACTTTTTGAGCAGCAATTAATCTCCCCCTTTTTAACTTACATCAGGTCAAAGAACAGCAGAAATACCATGAGGCATAAACTTAGGTGACTGTAAATTAATTGTAAAACATGATATATAATAAATACCAGTATTAAATATAATATAGATACATAATACATGATTTAATGCCTTATTATTTATTTTTTTATTATTTCTTTAATTTTATTTTTTTTTTAATTTTTTTTTTAATGTTTAATGATTTAATTTTAATGATTTAATAATCATAAAGAAAACTGATAAAATACAGTTCTTACTCAGTTTGGAATGGATAATGAAGTCCTGTAATGTAGCATCTACTTGTCTCCACTGTATTGACAATTAGTAATGAAATAAACTTTAGCTGACATCAAAGTAGTTTGCTTAAAAATTCAGTTCTGCTCTGGAAATTACATGTGCAAAGTTAATTTCATGCTCCATAAGTACAGAGTGTTATTAAATACTTTGTGTTTGAAAATCACATGTGATTCTATTGAAAAGACATGTACAAAATTTAAACATGCTTACTGTTCTTGCTAAACTTACTTTAAGCTGGATGATATCCTCACCATCCAGAAACACTGCCATCTCCTTCCAGTTGAAGGAAGCTTTCTTTCGATATTTGCAGAGCGGCCCCTTGGGGAAATCTGGTAGCAAAGTATCCCAGGAACTTTGGTTGCCATTGGCTTCTTTCAGATTCACTGTGGATGCCATTGATAGCTAAACCGTTCTGCACCAAACAAGAAAATATACAACATGAACTGAGGCACTGCAGATGTCTAACTTTTATAAGTATAAAGAAATAAAAAGGGTTGTTAATTTAACCTGTTCAAATCTGTGAATACAGCAGTGCAAAGCAAACTAAAAGACTAGCTGTACTTTTTTCTAATTCAACTGACGTGGTACAAGCTAAGGAAAAATGTCTTTGATCAAATTTAAATGAACTACATGGCCTTTGTTACTAAAATATGGCCTGCACATTTTAAAATGAGCAAAATATGAAACAGGGACAGCATTGGTGAATACTGCATATTAAGAGGTGAGAAAAGATCTAGGGAAGAAAATTGCATGTTCTGAATAACCTAATGTGAATGATTAAGCCACTTCACTTCTATCTGTAGTGCAAAATAAAATATAAAAGCAACCAAACGTGCACAACAAAACGAAACCCTACTTAGAAGATACCAATACTATCTCCACATTACTAGTTAAAATTCAAGCAACTCTTATGTAAATGTCATGTTGGTTATGCGTTAAGGCTTATTATTGCATAAGTGAAGTAATAAGGTGTTGTTCAGGCATAAACAACACAAGTCAGAAGACTTAAGGGAAATGGTAGGAACTCTGCCCTTATGTTCCACTGGTTGAATATACGAATGAGTAACCATGCAATAAAGTCATGTACACCACTGCAAGAAACAAACTCCTGTAATTTCTGCACATTTGCAACTCCTTTGCCTGATTGAAATAAGGCAAGTCATTACGAAAGCAGACTTCCCAAACCTCCAGAATAGTTAGCGTAGTCCTTTGTTAAAGAATTAACTCATGACCATCTACTTTCACACATCTGCAAAGTTTTGGAGAAAAAAAAAAGACACTGTGTTTCAGTTTCAAACTTAGATAGAAGATCTATTTTTGGAATACAAACTAAAGTTCTCATGCTTTCAAAACAGGTAGAATTTTCTTCACTAAGACAGAAACTGTACAAAGACCATAAACCCTCCTAAACCTGCTTCCAAATAGTTTTGTAATATTCTAATACAAAAAAATACTGCTTTTGCCCTTCTTTGTATTTTGCCAAAATGTTTCTTAAGGCCTGAAGTACTAAATAGTGCATGTTATTTTTTTTGCAACAGAAAATTATTATTTTCCTCTTAATCTGTTATTTTCCTTAATTGATTTTTATAGAGAATAGTCTGTGAAATGAAGTTTTCCCATCTAACTTATATTTTTCAAAAGTCTATATGATTTCTAGGTATGTCAGATACCACTATATAAACTGGAAGCACTTTTAGATCAGTGTAGAAAGGTTACAGCTGAATTTTTCAGGTGCTGGGCTAACATATATTAATTGATTTTAAAATGAAGTTTAGTAATTTCATTTCCAAAATTGGTTGAATAAATCCTGTTTACTAAGTTAACAAAATTTAAATTTCAACAGTTAAGTTTGAAAAGTTAAATTGGAATCTTCCAATAGGAAGATTCATCATTATTTTCTCAGGAAACAAGGACTTTTCTGCAGCTGGAATTCTTCCTTTATTTGGTGAAAAATTATGTACTTAAATTCATTAAATAAGGATTAATTTTGGGGACTGAAGATCAAAGGCACTAGTTATTTGGCTAATGTCAAGCAGTTTACTGAAGTGAACAGAAGGTACTCTAAAATTATTGCTGTAATGGACATTTGACTTAATTAGCTAAAAGTCCAATCAGTTATCTGGGGTAAATGGGAAGCAGGAAAGGTGGAGTGGATAGATTACTGTAGATAACAGTACTGTAAAAGTACAAAGCAAATATCTGATCAGATCAGCATGGAATGATATGGTGCCTACCACAGCTCCTACTAATTTAAGATTGTCCAGAACTGGGCTAGCTCTCACAAATCAACTTGGCTATGTATACTATATATGCTAACAGTTCCAGGAAGGAGCAGTTCCTTCCAGTACTGAGCAACTGGTTTGGAAAGGAAAAAAAGAGAAAAATAAAACCCAAATCCCAGGCACTGAGAACAAAGCATTTCAACCTGAAGCCATACCAACAGACATTACCCTTTTACTGGCAAACAAAAGTGAACTGTAAAGTATTTAAATCAGGCTGAAGCTTCTAGCTCAGAACAGAGAAAAACATGACATCAAAATACTGCAGTTATTTAAATATGTGTGTGTATAAACATTATTTACATTGTAAATCAATGAGACGGTTCAAATAATAAAACTAAGCATTCAAGAAAAGCGTTCCTGCATAGCAAAACAAACAAACAAAAAAATTTCCCTCTCTGCTTTCCTACAATGCTTTGATTGAGTCCTTCCAAGCAACAACTTCAAAATCAACTAGAAATCAAGCCAAGTATTTATTTACAGCAGGAGAATGGCAGCCAAAGGACTGCCCCAAGGTGCTATGTCCATCCTTAAACAACTGTATTCCACTGCCTGTTTGAAATCTGCACATGGATGTGGCACGAAACAACGGTGCAGATTAACTCTCTGAGAATTGCTGCTTATATGATACCTGTTGAGGTTTTTTTATTTATCTAATTAAACGTGGAAGGTGCTCCTGCTGGTAATTCAAGTTCGTGACTGCCCAAACCCCTTTGAGGTTTCAGTTGCACAACCTCTCTTTGAATTGCCTAACTTAAGCAAAAGGGGCTCGTTTCTGGCCGGAAAGCAAAAAAATAACTACGTGAGGTACCACATTTTACTATAAAAGCGTGCTAACATTTGTTTCCTCGAGCTTGAGGGGTCAGATTGTGTGTGATCTGCGGGATTACAGCCCCAAAACCCCAAGCAGCTTTCCCAGAAATGCGTTTTCTACACCGAGGTACAGCAGTCAGCACGACAGCTTTGAACTTTAAAAGCCGTAAACACGTTAAAAACCCTTCAGCCTTGCTGCTGGGACTAAAGGTACCTTACACGGTGCTACTTCAGGGAGGATTCGCAGCGTTTGGCGCCCGCTCCCCTCTACACAACAGCAGAGCGCTTCTAGGAACCGCTCCGCAGCCGCCTGGCACCACAGTTAATCGGGTTTGCAACCTTTACGTGCGAGAAGGTGATGAAGGGCCGCTCTGTTTACCGTCGCCGTCCCCGCCTCAGGAACTGACGGGAGCAGGACGCGCCCGGTCCCGCCTCCTTCCCCCCGCCAGCAGGAGGCCATGGGGCCGGTGGGCACGGCGGCGGTGCGAGATGGCGGCGCCGCGCTGCCCGGCGGCTTCTGGGCGGCGGTGCGCGTCTGGCTGGAGAAGCCGCAGGTGGCCAACAGGCGGCTGTGCGGCGCCGCCATCGAGGCGGAGGGGACGGTGCTGCTCGGGGAAAGCGAGGGAGGGTCTCCCCGTCTCACCGCTGTGCCAGGAGGAGGGACAGATGAGGGACCGCAGGGGGCTGCGGAGCTGAGCCGGCTGTGGAGGGAGGTGAGCGGGCACCTGCCGCCCTCCCTCACGGCCCGGGGCCGGCCGGGCTCCGAGCTCCGCGCCGTGCTGAGGACGCTGCTGCCCCGGGCACGGCCCGCCGGGCCCCCTGCCCCTCCGACAAAGGAGCTGGTGGTACAAGGTGAGCCCCCAGCCCTGGGCACCCCCTCTGAGTAACTGGGGAGATTAGGGCCTGAGGGAGTGGGGAGAAAATGGCTCATCCCGTCTTCCTTAGGAAGGACTGTGCTTCATGTGGGGTCCTGACAGAAGCTTCCCCCCACAGAAACACTGCTCGTTGTGCAGGGCTAATGACAGCTTGCAAGGAGTGACTGTACCCTATAAATATGCTGAGTTCAGAAAATGCACAGACAGCTTTTGCATCAGCCTCGCCACTTCCAAACTGCTTGTGCCAGTTTGCATGCTGTTGGTTTTGCTTTAAAAAAAAAAAAGGCATGAGTTGTTTTTTGTCAGGTACTTGCTGTGGTGGAACCACACTGCAGGAAGTCCTGCTAGGACTTAGAGTGGTCCTACTGTGTAAAATTCCTTCTGAGTACTGAGGAAGCCTTCCAAAAAAAGTCTATGTTTAGGTTTGTTTGTCTTCTTTTGATGTTGTAAGGTGATGTTCTGAGCTACACCTGGAAAAAGCCTGTAAAATTTTCTTGTTAATAAGATTTTTAAAATCTAGAGCATTGAGAGGGGATTGGCTAAGGATAGGCTGAAAAAGCAAGACTTAATGTTTGCTCTATTGCGAATTATTCTTTTCCATCTCACACAAGAAATTTTGGTGTCCGTAGATATTTTGGTTTCTTTGTCAACGTAATATTTTCATAGCTTGGAGATTTGCAGTTATCAGTTTTGATGTTAAGTGAAGGATCAGTTTCAAATAGGGAACGTATGTTATTTTAAAGAAATTCCCTTGGATAAGCAATAGCTAAGTGTTTGTTGGTTTTTTTTTTTTTGCAACTAGTACGTAAATTAATAATACATACGTATCATGTGCCATATAGAATAGAGTAAATCCTTTTAGAGAAAATCTATAGGAAGGATATAGGGAGTAAATTAAGACAGTAAAAAATAGTAGCATGTGAATACTAGATTGTATGATACCACTTGTGTTTCATTACAGTCTCTTTTGTTTTTATTTGAAAGTTGTTTCAAAAGGATGTATTCTTTCCCTCTGTGTTTCCCTTTGTGGAGGAGTTAACTGATACATGCATGAGTAATGTTAGAAAATGTAACACATTAAAAGTTGCAGGATATCTTCTTTAAATATCATAGAAGCACTGAAGAGCATGGCCAGCTGTTACTCTGCCCATCTCAACTTTTTCAAAATCGGTAGTGTTCGGAACTTAAGCATAAGTATTTTATTCCACAGGTGACAGATACTATGATCGGTAGGATCGCTGCTGAACATAACTTAGGATGTAACATATTACCTGTGCCTTTACCTAAAAACAGGTCTTCTCAGGTAGTCTTTCAGAGTTACAGAATACTAATTTAGTGTTTGTATGTTGTTGTTATTTTTCATATAGCTACATCCAGGAAGTCTAATTGGGAAAGCTGGTGTTGCTAAAACTGAAGAGTAGTTATGCTTCATCATAATCACACAGTAGATCATACTGATCATATTTTCCATAGTATTCCATAATATTATAATGTCATGGAATTCTGCATTTGATAGTTTCTCTAATGTCAGGGTGAGCAGGTAAATAAGTCTGCAATAAATTGGAGTGTGCATCCCATAACTCCAGATTTGCTGTGTGGAATGGGAAAGCATTGTTTTTATACTAGAAAATCTCAATGTCTCTAGCTTTTCAGATATTTATAGATTGTGAATAGTCTTGCTGATTGGCCTTATACCTTTTGGGAAACAACATGCAGTGGAGTGCTATGAGTAGATCTGCTTCTCAGTGTGCCTGATGTCCGAAATTATTAAACTGTTTGAATTCCCAAAATTCAGCGTTGTGGTTCTTCCTTCATTGTCCTTGATCTTGCCTCATTAGTATGCATTTAATGTAGTAAGAAAAAAAGCTTTTTATTTTTTTTTGTGCTAGCCAGGATGGTTTGTACCATGTAATAATAATATATCACCATTTACATATCTTTTCAGATGTTTACAGTGGAATTGTGACCTTTCTGCCTTTGGAGGAAAACAAGGAAGGAAAATACCAGATTAAAAAGTGCAATACTTATGAAATTCAGCTTACGCACATAAAAGATGAAGAATGGTGAGTGAGTGGAAGGAAACCCGGAGTTATTTTAAGAATCACATCGTGGTTTAGCGTTGGTGTCCAGGTGATTTGGTTTTTATAACTTGTGTGATTAGCAAGTGGCATTACTGGTATGATCTCAGTGCATAGTGTTCAGTTAAAAACAATACGTAAAATACCAAAATCAACAAAAAACAAATCTATTTCAACTTCAAATGTAATATATTGACTGTATGTGTATCCTCATCAGTAGGAGATAACTATGTCTGTGCTGGAAGTCAGGTTCTGTAGGTCTTAGTAAGGTTGAAAAATGAAAAGGAATTGCTCTTTGGAACCTGCCAGGCTTCAGTCATTAAAATGTGTGGACATCTTGGTCTTGAGCATGGAAGATGTAATTGTTCATGCTGACAGTTTACATAACTAACAAAATCTAAATAAATTTTACATAACTAACAAAATCTAAATAAATTTAGAGATCGGAAATAGTGAAATGTACCAACTGATGATATTTTGCTCTTAATTTTTGTTTGTTTTCATGAGGTACCCACTTGTTAGCATTTGGAATATTGTGGTAAATCAGGTTGTTTATTGTATGTGAGTCTTCGGTCGTTGTAGTAAATCTAGCATAGACTCTCATATGGTGTTTGAATGAGGAGATAATGAGCTGTCTAACAAAATCTAGGAAAGACTGTTTTATTATTCATTAACTTCACTTTTATTTTCCTTTTGTTTGTGCATTATGTGCTTATTTATTCCTCGGTGTACTCTTAGGCCTTTATTTGATCTTCTGATTTTTTTTTTTCCACTTTATTATATTTTTCTTTACTCTTGAGTTGGTGAGAAGTGTGAATCCACTGTATGTCATCAAAGTTTTAATTTATTTATTTATTTATTTTAAGGTCTGTGTCTATTGTTGCTCTGTCTTCAGAAGATTGGTTTTCAGATGGAATTACATACCCCAAACTAGCATGGCTTGGAAATGAACTTTTGCCCAAACTGGCTAAGTGGTCTGTGGAGCAAAAGCACAGTGAGTTTAGAAGTACACTCTCACTCATTTCTGTAGCAAAATACTGCAAGGTTTATCAAGACCTTAAAGAAAAATACAAGGAGATGGTAAAGGTAAGTTTGGCAATAAATGTAGTAATAACATGCTTTCCTGCCGTTGTTTTTTGTTGCTGTTATGTTTCCTGAAACTGCTTCTTCCAATTTTTTTTTAATAAAGGAATCAGTTTAATTAAAATGCATGCATTATAGTTTGTTGGATTGTTTTTTAGTCTTATACTGCATATGTGGAGGAAAAAAATAGTTTTTATAGTATTTGGAAGAACTGAACTGGAAAATCTTGAACCAAATTCATACTAAATATCTGATGGTGATAGACATGTTCCACAATGTTTGTCTTCAAAAAAGAAGTAAGCAGTAGGTCAGTGGATGGAAATACTAAATTACCCACACAATAAAGCATAAATATAGTATGTCCTTGTAAAAAGCATCGAAGAGTTAGGAAGCAACGCTAGTTAAAAGTCTGTTGCTTTATTTACATTTTGATGCATTAGTATGCCTTTCTGAGTTGGAGCAGCAGTGTTTTAGTAGTGTCTTATCCTGGGGATTCCTAAAAATGACCTTAAATGCTGTATGATGTAATATCCTTATACAACAAACTCTAGAAACCAAAGAAGTTGATAAATGTTTTTGTAAAACATTATGGAAATGTTGAAAGGTTTCGCTGTTGATGCTTCTCCACTAATAAAAAGATAAGTGTAGCAGGAATGTTTGAATTGTGAGTAAGGTAATGGGTTCATTTTTTTTATTTTATTTTTTTTAGCTCTTCAGTAGTGTTTTGTACCATAGAATGTTTTAGTCTGTCTCCATTTTTCATTTAGAAAATAGGGATTACACTTTTTCTATCTTTCTCCTTCATATTTTGATTCTTCATGTTCCATTTTGCCAGGATAGTTCCTCATCTTTTGAAAATAAATTTATGAATACTGTAATTAATAATGCACTTAACAGGAAGAATAATATGAGAATTAGAATAAGCAAAAGAATACATGTTCTATTACAGACCGGGTGCAGCAGGTTACTTGCAAGATGTGCATATGGAGCTGTAATGTTCTTGGAAACTTTATTGACTGAAAGCAGACATTCTTTATACCAATGTACTGTTGTGTGACTCACAAAATCTTTGTTTACGTTTTTTGTGTGTATTTGTACTCGGTTCAAAATGTATTAAGTGTAGAAGTCTATTGAAGAAGATGAGTATCCAGGTAATTCTGAGCTCTCTTTGCAGTATTTTAAGATGACACAGAAAATAATAGTTTTTCTTTTATTTTCTTCTTCTCGTGAAGGTATGGCCTGAAGTAACAGATCCTGAGAAGTTTGTATATGAGGATGTTGCCATTGCTACTTACTTGCTGGTAAGTTTTTATTAGTGTTTTCGAACATAACTTGACCGAAAGTGGAATTCGTGGCTCAAAGTGTATTCGAATTGAGCTTGTATTAGGATCTTCTTTGGTAGTAATCTCAATGGCATTTCAGGGATTTATATACAATAACTGATTACAAAAAATAAGCATTTTACTACAGAATCTGAAAAAAAAAATAATGTGACAAAGCAAGGGGAAAAAAGAATTTATTTTTTTTATACCATGGCATACCACAAAAAATAAGCACAGTAACAAAATTAAAATTAGAGGAACATTAACACTTTTTTTGAAGACTTGCAGTCTTTTGTCATAGGACTCTTATGTCACACAGACAAGCTGTAGTTTTTTTGTTTGTTTTAAAGTGGTTAAAACAAAAGCATTTACATACCAAAGATACAATGATTACTGTCTAGTTTGGAGATGAGAAGCTGTAGGCACATCAATATTTTGATTACTATCTAGAGTGCAGTAAGAGTATGTCTACCTAGAAGTATAATGCAGATACCTTGTCTCCTCTAAGTCAGTATTTGTAAACAAGTTAACTCATTTACAGATCTCATTGAGGGCTATTTTAGTTTACTAATTGTTTGTTTAAACTTAGAAACTCAGTTCCTTATCACATAAATTTTTTTAAAATTGTTTGAGGAAGCCTGACTGCCATAGGCTGCTCTCAAAATCTTGAATATCATATTGATATGACGTTGGCTTATGGAAAGAGCTATATAATAGACTTTTATCATTTTTTCCCACCATGACAGTAGTAGCTGTTGAATGTTGAAAAATAGAAAATGAAGTCATGTACATGAGGAATTATAATAGTTGTAGCCCCAGGAAAATTCTCTAATGACACTGCTGAAGATGTTGTGCATACAAATTTGCAAGACAGTATTTGTTTACAGTCATAATGTTTTTTAGTTGAAGTAGCAGTAACTTTCCATAAGTTATTAAAATGATGCAATAACTGGCTTGTATAAATTAAAGCTTAATATATTAATAATCTAACCTCACTGGGAAAAAAAAACGAACAGATATGAATAATTCATTATTTAGAAATAATGAGTGATAAAAGGTCCAGTGTTAAATTAATATGGATTTACAGTACTTAAATTGACATGATGAGAGGAGGGGTCATCTGACCCCTTCATTATACTCTGCAGTCATATAAACGCTGCCTACTGTCTAGACACATTACCAGTGTCTATGGTAGACACATTACCAGTTTCTTATGATTCAAACCTGTTCAGTTTGAATCATAAGAAACTCATCAAGGGATGGAGGATGTGTGTGATCTGAGTAGGAGGCAATTAGAGTTTTCTGGGTTACAGTCTGGAGAGCAGAAGTGCAATGATTGATACATTTAAAAATGTAAACACAACCATGTAATCCTATGGTTTATCTGTAACTTCTTTGCCTAAACTGACAAAATAACAAGCAGCAATGTTACTAATTCTTGTGGTTAAATATGCTTGACAATTTCTGTTATTCATGGGAAAAATAAGAATTGAGAAGCTTCAGAGGACACACTCATTGAGCAAAAAAGAGTTTGAGAGGAATAAGAGGAGACTAATCTATATGCTGAGGACAAATATCCTATTATTAAGATTAGCAATTTCCAAATTGCATAACTATGTAGGAGTAACTACTTCGGTACAGAGCAGGGTCTGGAACTGGACTAAGAGCTTTGGGGGATCCACTTCATCTGATTCAGAATTTGGGGCAGCTGATTCTTGCAAAGTAAATTACAATTTCTTGTCTAGTCTGTAAAAGTTGCAGTTCATAGCCAATTGATTACAAGCAACATTTTATTTTTATCCCTGCACCCAATTCTTTCTTTTATACAGTGGATATAAAGGCTTCTGTAGTGTCACATGCAGAGATATTGTTGTTAATTTAGTTGCTGTTTCGTCATGTTAATCTCTTGTGCCATTTGTTTCAGCAGCATATTTCAACATTTATGCTTTCCCTAGCCTAGCCAATATTAATTTCAACTTCAGGCACTCAGAGGTGAGTGGAGGATGCTTAGCACTTGGAAAATGCTTGATACTTTGAAACATAATCTTACTCCCTCCATTAGTTGTTTTAATATATTGTGTTTTTTTTTTTTTTTTTCCTTCTCAAGTTGCTTTCTCTTTGAGTGCTGTGGCTGTCTTCTGTCACTTCTTCACTGTCTCCCAGAATTCTCCTTTCGTTTCAGACGTCTTATTACTGCTTTCTGACAGGGGAATTTGAGAGTATAACTCTAAAATGTTTTCTTTTCTTGTCCTAGATTCTCTGGGAAGAAGAGAGAAAAGAAAAAGGATTGGCCAAGAAACAGTCATTTGTAGATCTTGGATGTGGAAATGGTCTACTGGTTCATATTCTAAGCAGTGAAGGGGTAAATAGAGTGCATTTTAAAACAGACAAAAGATATCTTCATTTTTCTTGTTCTGCTTTCCTTTGGCAGGCAAATAGTCAAAATTCAGTTAATTCTTGTCATTAGAACAAGACTTTATTACTCACTAATTATCAAAAAAAAATAAGCAGAGCTTTAGAAACCTTCTAATTATTATTAATAGGGAAATAGAAGAATAGAAGGGAAAACAAGGGATTAGGGGTAATCAGTTTATGCCTGAAATGATGAAACTGTTTCGTTATGTGTCCAAATTCTAGTGTGACTGAAGTGGTGTATGTTAGTATGTACATTTAGTCAGCTTGTCTGAGAATTTCTACTGCACTTGGTACTTACAAATGATACTTTGTTCAAATATTTCAGCACTCTGGTAGAGGAATTGATGTGAGGAGAAGAAAAATATGGGACATGTATGGACCAGAAACTCATTTAGAGGTATTAAGCAAATGTATGTCAATCTCATTCATTTTGTAACTTTATTCATTCGTTCATTGCTTCAGGCTGTATTGATGCAAATGTAATTAAAAGCACTGGGTTATTGACAATTGTCTAAAGCAATGTGTGGGTTTGGTATGCTGCCACTCATATGTCCTAAAAGGTTATAAAGTAAGCTGTAGAGGGGATTAATAGAGCAATGCTATATCATATGCTTGCTTATTTGCAATTTACTTAGTTTTTCAGCTGAGAGCACTAGCATGATTTCTTACTGCTTGTACAGACATGCACATTATGAAGCAATCCTTGATTTTACTGGAAGTTCAATAGTGAGCAGCTTTATTTGCACTTTCTGTACATCACAAAAGATGTTGGTTTCCAAAGTTGTGGGTAGTTTATTCATGAATTAATAACAGAATCACTCTCAAAGTGATTCTGATCTTATAGTGCTCTGTATTGTTTCGGAACAAAATTGTTGAAACTCAAAGGAGCCAATTCATCTGCTGTTCTGACCTTGTGGTAAGTCATTGCAATAACAGCCTTCCAAAAAAATGGACAGAAAAATGAGTCTGAAAGAGGGATTGTATTTCAAGTTCTCCATTCTTGTTTTTATGAGGACAGGAACAATCTGAGCACAGGCACATTTGCTTCAACTCTAGCTGGTTTTCGTTTGATGCTTGTTTAAGTGTGGCAGTGATGAACAGTTGCCCTTTGGAGGTGAAGGTTTCTTGTTCTCTTGTTCTCTAGACTCTGGAGTTTCTCACCTTATTCCCTCAAAAATTGTCAGCTTCCAATACACTAAAATACTTTTCTGTCCATAGCTATTCTCTAGTAGGTTTGGTTGAACGTCAGTTCAACAAATCTTTAAATGCTAACAACTTTACATCAAGAAAAGAGCAGCAGCTTTCATGGTTGGGAGGTGGAGCAGTCATGTTGTACAGCCTTTGCTTTGCTTTGGTTTGATATTAATTTAAAGCATGAGTTGCAACATGGATATTGGCATTTGTGACATTCAGTGTATATGCTAATGATATAAACGAATGTAAGAGGTGGTACTTTAGATCACCAAACTACTGTCAGATATAGCAAAAACAAATGTGATTATGGGTTACTGTCAAAATGTGGAGTATAACACTGATAATTCATGCTATGCCTAAACTGAATAATGAAAACTGGAATATACTGGAAGAGTAATTTGCTTAACCATAAGAAAACACTTACAGAACAGTTGTTTTAACATATGCTAACCTTTCAAAAAGGAAATTTGTTAGGTATGTTATCTGGAAATTATATACATAACTAAAAATTGAGAGGGATTTGGTACTTCAAGTAGGTGATTATATACCATATCGATACTTAAAGCACCTAAAGCAATGCTTTCTGAAGAGGACAATTGGGATGGAATAGAGATAGCCTGAGATTTCTGAAATTCCCTGTTATCTTTTTTGAATTCCTGTACAGATACTATTATACATGTGTGTGTGAATTTGGCATATGTTCTATATTTAAAATGACAGTAACGGCATCATTTTCAGAATTGTTATTAAAGTTATTTGGAAATTTGAATCTGAAACAGGATTGTTTATTCTTCAAATCTGTCCAGTAATTATTGTGAGATTTGTACATCTTTTTAGAGAAGAACATATTCTTCCATAGTATAAGGAACTTCAAGTATTTTCTTTGCTGTACTTATTTTCTAGGTAGGAACATACTGAGTGTTTGGCAAAGATGAATGTTAAAAGCACTCTGGAACTTTTAAAATTTAGCCTGTATGAGCTGTTCATGCTGTTTGTTTTATGGTTTTTGTTTCTTGTGTGTTTTGTTTTTTAAAGAATAACAGAATAGGGTATTCTTAAGATTAATAACTATCTGTGAGTCTGTATTGTTGTGGCAAGACTCATATGCTGTCTCCTTATTCCATATGTAATGAAATAACGCAAGCAAAATGCTATCATAAAGGCTGCCAATGAAGCCTTCTTTCTCTGACGTATTGCTTTCCTATTTCTACTGCTGATATTGCATGTGTCATAGGGTAGCTCTGATACAACTTGGATGAGAACGCTCTGGCAAGGTACACAAGAAGAAAAGTGTTGGGCTCAATTAGGTTGATTATAAACAAATGGTAAGGTTGAAAGGTGGTGTTCTGTGTACTTGGATTTAATGTAGGAAATGTCTGTGAAAGGAGAGAAGATAGTAGGGAAGCTGTGTTCTGATTCATTGCTGTGTGAGACAGGGACATAACAAATGAAATGAGTCTCTGAAAAACCGGGCCCAGAAATACATGTGATAGGAGAATGGCAAGAAATCATAATCGATCTATAAGATTTGTTAACATACATTTCGGATGTCAGATACCTTCATCAGACTTGTCATTCCTCTCTTTGTCTGACCAATATGTTGTGGGTTGTTGCTAAATTAATTCTTTGTAGCTATAAAAAAAAATACTGCCTGGCGAAACTTCAAACTGAGAAAAATATTGACGGCTTCTGTGGGTTCTCATTCACCTTGTATTTTTCCTGTTGTAGGATTTTATATTGTTGTTCAGTGCTTTATTGGCAAATAAATCTAAAGAAACCTATAATAAATCTTACTTCAATTTTTTTTATTTTATTTTTTTTTAGGAATTATCTATCATGCCAGGTGATAGTCATCTCTTTCCAGATACTGATTGGCTGATAGGAAACCATTCAGATGAATTAACGCCATGGATACCTGTAATTGCAGCCAGGTACTTGGTGGTGGTGGGGAAGCAGGAGGAAAGGAATAAAAGCATAATTACCTGTACGTGTTCGGTGAAAACTGCTGCTTTTGCAGCCACATCAGGGGTTCTTGCAAGTTTTGCTTCTTGTGATGCCAATCGATTATTTTTACAAAATGTTTTTTTGCTGCAGAGAAGCCCAGAAATAGTATTTATTTTCTTATGGAATTCAGTACAGCATTTTGCTTTTGAAGTTCAAACAGAATTTTGTATTTATTCTTTAGACATGAATCTAGTTTAAAAAAAATACTGTTCTGCTTATCACAACCAGCTGCAATAGTCTGATACCTTGATTTAGTCCTGCAGACTCTTGTTGGTACAGTAGATTGGTATAGCAAATACTCTGTGAAACAGTGACTTTGAATATACTAATAAATTTTCTGAAGGAGGAATGTATAAATAGTACTTCATGAAGCTCTGTCACCTTCATAAAAATTTCCATCATTGCCTGTGTCTGGGCTATTTCTTAAATTTATGTGTGTTATCTGAAATAACTTTCCATTCAGCAGTTATCCTTTATCCTTCCCATAGGTCTTCCTATTCATGTAGCTACTTTGTGCTGCCATGTTGCTTCTTCGATTTTCATGGAAAATACAGTCGAAAACAAAGCAAGAAGACTCAGTACAGAGAATATCTTGATTTTGTTGCCGAAGTGGGATCTGTATGTGGTTTTCATGTGGAAGAAGACTGCCTTAGAATTCCATCAACAAAAAGGGTAATTTTGGACTCAGTAGGGCTTTTATCTTTATTTTTAAAGGTGGTGTCTGAAGCGGGGCTTGTTTAAAAAAACAACAACAAAAAAACCTTTTTGCTCAGGCAGCTGGTGATAGGACACAGAATAACAGAATGGCTGAGGTTGGAAGAGACCTCTGAAGATCATCTAGTCCAACCCCCCTGCAGAGTAGGATGAAGGGGGAATGGTTTTAAACTAAAAGAGGGGACTTTAGATGTTAGGAGGAAATTCTTCACTCAGATGGTAGTGAGGCACTGGAACAGGCAGCCAAGAGAAGCTGTGGATGTCCCATCCCTGGAGGTGTTCAAGGCCAGTTTGTATGGGGCGTTGAAAAATCTGATCTGCTGGGTGGCGTCCCTGCCCATGGCAAGCGGATTGGAACTACGTGATCTTTAAGGTCCCTTCCAACCCAAGCAGATTCTGTGACATTTCTTCGTTATTGTTTTGTAAGATTGAAGCATAGTCAGTTGCATTGTTTTAGATAATATGCTTTGAAGATAGATTACTCAAGAAACCCATGAGTATTTTTAATCTGCTATATTAAAGTTAACATCCTAGGTTACAATCCTCAATACAAGAAAGAGTGAAAAGATTTATGGTTATTTATTGTACTTGTCTTTAAGATGGAAAACTTTAACGCTGTCTTTCTGCCTTTGTTTTTCCATCAGCCTATGTTGATTAATTGTATTTAACTTTGCTGTTTAGAAGCCTGCGTAAAACATGTGCTGTCTGGCTGGGGGGCTGTATCTAAGTATGGGACTCTGTTTAAATATTATGATACAAAGAGTGATTTACCTATTTCTGCTAAGATAGGTGTGCCTTATTGGAAAAAACAGGACCTATCCATCTACAGAATGTGCTTTGATTGACAATCAGATAACACGGTATATTCATAATCGTCAGACTTGTCCTGTGGTTGCATGTGACAGAGGAGTTGGATTTAATCATAAAGATTGCTCTGATGTATGCAAAGAAGCAGGCTCAGGACTTCCTGAAAATGAAATGGAAACTTCTGGTAGAATTTGGATGCCTGGATTTCAACCCAGAGAAAAAGTAGAGCAAATCAGAAATTGCGCTGCCCTCCCTCGAGATTTTGTAGATGATGTGGTTCTGAATGTGGCAAATTTGCTATTAAATACAGTCCCCCAAAAATCATGTTCTAATACTCACGGTGGAAATATGAATACCTGGAATCAAGGAGGTGAGATTGTCTTTCTGGCAACACTTTCTGTTACCTTTTACCTTCGCTGGTGGAGGGTGTTTTTTCCAATGAATTTACATGTTTTTAAATTTAGTAAGTGACATAGACTTTAGGAAATACCATGAACTGAAAAAAAAAAAAACTTTGATTGCTACTATACAATGTCTTATTGCACTCTGGGGTGCAAATAAGTCGCATAAGTGTATTTTGAAACTCGTGTCTTTGCTTGTTTTTCTTTTACTCTACACTTGAGTACTGTGGCAGAATCAACTTAAACAGAACTTCTCCCTGTTTCACAAAACATCTCTGCATCTAAGCTGGGAAGGATCTAAGTTTATTTTTGGATAGTGACATAATAACTAGCTATAGCTCTTGAAGAAGTGCTTTAAGTGCCATTTAATTACAACATGATTAGGGATTTTTAGTTGGCTTAGCATTAGAATGAAAAGGAATAGAAGTTGCAGCCTATTTTATAGGCACTCAGTAAGTTTCATTTTCCTGCACCCATATTTATTATTTAGTCACTGTAGTTTGTTATATGCTACAGGATATGCTATGTTATATGCAGCTACATGCTACTGTTAGGAAGAAAATGACTCATTCTCCTTTACTAAATGCATGTAAACTTTCTACTACGTGCATGTAAACAGTGCTTAGTACAATGAGGATTACTGCAAAAAAAAAAAGCAGTGAAAGAAAAAATGTGTCTTACCGTGGAAATTCTGACTTGAGACCTGTAGAATGAAAACTGCCATTTTACAGACAATATACATATAAAATATACAATTATTGTTTTTGATATTGGGATCACAAAGTTGTTACAGTACTTGTGTATAATTCATAGATTCTGTTCATAATTGTTAATTTATACAAAAGTTAGGGTTTTCAAGGATTTTAGATATACACATCTTTATAGCTACACTATTATTTATTACAGAAAGCCTTTCCTTGAGAGAAGTAGCAGAACATTTAAATAAAGAGACTTTAAGGAGGCTGAAGAGTGAATATGGAGGCTTACAGACACTGCTCAAGAACAATCATCAAGTATTCGAAGGTAAGGAGTAGATAGGCATTATTTGTTTGGCTTTGCTTTTAAACTTAACTAAAAAGTTACTATTCCAGTCTGGAAAACTGAGTATTCTTTGTGCCCCTTCATTGCTGCAAGGTATAGTTAATAAAACTTCCTTTTGAATAAGACTGGTACGGTAATCTGCAGCAAAGAACTTTTCTAGATCAATTTTATCTGAAAAGACAAACCTTCAGTTAAAGTGGCTGATCTAGTACTGTTGTTTGACTAGGGAGATTTTATTTTTTCTTTTCTTGTAATGTATTGATGATTTAGGGGGCAGTCAAATGCAGAGAAAGTTTGCTAAAGCATTTAATCCGGACCTGGCCTGGCCTTACCAAGCCCTGTAGTATAAATGGTGACGACAAAATCAAACTAGCCTTGCTGTAACTAAGCTTGATGTATTTATATAGTCTGTAGTAGTATGGCTCAAAGGGCTCAGTAACACAATTTTGTGGCTGGCTTGATTTGTTTATAGCTGTGATGGTAGTGGGTTATTTGCTTTTTTTTTTCCTTCTCTCCCCTCTTGTAATGTGGTATGGGGGGGGTGTTTGTGTGTTTATTTTTTTCCCATGTTTGTTTTTAATTTGTCATGGATGTTATCTGCATGTTACCTCTGAAGAAAGACTAAGATTAAGGCCACATCTTTCACAGTATCTTGCATCGCATGGAAAGTGCCTGGGACTTCAAGAAGACCAATTTTTGATTGTTTTCTTCAGTAGTCCGTCATTGTAACAAGGGACTTCTGCTAGTGTATGTTGTGGAGGGACCTTGCTCATGCCAAAGAGAACACAGGAAAATATGTGTAGAGCTCTTAATCTCATCACAAACAGATGCATGCATTCACACAAAAAAATATGAGACTAAGTGATCTATGAGCCCTAATAATCTAATGAGATCTACTGGTCTGCTTATTTTAAGTCTGAGAGAGATTTTAAAGCACTGAACCCACTTCTGGATTGGCTTTGTGTGAGTTTAGAGCTATTTGTGCATCACAAGGAAACTTGGAAGGATAAATTCATCCAGGCTTGAATGTGTGATACTAAACTTTCGCTGGACTCTTTTTTGAACAGTGATTATCAGAATTAATCAGACTTAAACTAGTTTTTTGCTGGTAATTACAGTTTGAACATAGAGTAATAAAGTGTTGAACAAGGGGGGGATTATAGTTCTTAAAGATCAAACTTTTTTCAGAACTTGCAATCTAAATTCTGAGGATTTTGGTATAAGTTATCTTACCTGATATATTTTTTTAAAAAAACACACCTCTATGAATCCTCTCCTCTATGAGGACGATACATAGGTGCCTCAAACTATTCAGCACGATGGTAAAACATCTCCCAGGGAAATTGATCAATTTTTCTTTAGACCACCTCTGTCCATCTCTATATTACTTCATTTTGTTGTGCACATCTTTCTGTTTCTTTACAAATGGTACATTTGGTTTTGCCTGAGTGATCCATTTGTAGAAAATATGTTATTTGCTGACTGTCACTATGCATTTTTTCCAGTATGATTCCCATGGCTGTCTATTAACAGCTGCATTTTTGTTTGTTTTTAAATCTTAGTTCTAAATGGGAGAGTTCATATTCGTGACTGGAGAAAAGAGAAGCCATCAAGGAAAACTAAGCCTGAAGTAAAACGATGCCTTTCAGCTGAAGCATATAAAACACGTCTCTGTTGGTTTTTCATTCATCATCCTAATGGTTGTGCTTTGCCTTCTGAATCTTGCCCATATGCGCATGGGACTGAGGAGCTAAGACAGTCTAAGACTATTAAAAAGAAAAAACATACACAGTGTTAAAAATCTGCCACTTATTTTGAAGTTCGTGTGTATAACTGAATTTGACTGACTTTGGGGGACCACTTAGTGCATGAAGACCTGTAAAGTTTTTTTTGTTTTCTCATTCCTATGTATCTTGTTTTCTAGTTGGTTTACAAGTTCTCCTGTATTTTAATTATTTTATTATTGACATGGAAAGGTTGTAGTAAAATATATACATACTTCTGGGTTTTGTTTGTTTTCTGTAAAAGAATGGCTTGTCTGATATGCATTTGTGTAAATACAAAAGTTTACATTCTTCACCATCCTTGATCCCATCAAATGTACGTGATAGATAACATTCAGTTGTTTTGCTCAATGCTTTCCAGGATGATTTATGGTTTCTTAAAACTCACAGTGTCTCTTGGGAGTAGAAGCAGAGAGGCTTCACTCATTTCTGGTAACAGCCTCTTTACTGTGGAATAATGCTAATTATTATCCTTCCTTTCTTGGCCAGACCTAGTCTAACAAAATGATTGTTGGATTGAAGAATTAACTTTCTGGGAAGTTATGGAGTTTAGAGAAATTGTGTAGGAACTGATTATAGGACACGTAAGTTTGGGACTACAGGTGACTAATGCATGTAAGAACTCTGTAAGAGCATAGGGACTCTGAATTACAAAGAATGGAAATAATTGAAGACCAAGCAAAGAAACAGTGAAAGATGACACTAGAAAAGATTTTTATTTACTTCCTTTGCTTTCAGCCAACAGATTGTAAAGAACTCTCTGAAGTGTCACGTTACTCTCTTCTATTCCATTTCTCTTCTGATCTTGGAAAAAGTGGCTCTTGGTAGATAACAGCTAACCTAGGTTTTTTAATTACATCTTTCCAATGAAAGGGGAATTAAACACATGCCTGACTCACTGAAGTTCACAAATATGCACATGTTAAGACTAGGGTATTAAATTTAAAACTAACTTTTGTTGTCCTTTGTGCAATGCTATCACACTATCACAGAATCACAGAATGTCTAGGTTGGAAGACACCTCAAGATCATCGAGTCCAACCTCTGAACTAACACAAGTCCTCCACAAGCTATGATAACTAGTATGTTAGTATAGTACACTACTTCTGTTGTACAGACACAGTTCCCTAAACTCATCAACATAACAGCTCTGACACAGATCCATGATGGCTATTCTTTCAGTTTGGCATCGCTGCAGGTAGCAAGCCATCCAACAAATCTGTGTTTTCCTGTTCTTTGGAGAAGTGGTAAGAGAACATTCTTCCCGCTCAGTTTTGGGTAGAAATGTTAGCCTCGTATAATTCTAAATGTAAATCTGAAGGTAACTGCCAAACACTTAAAAAAAAGCTCTATTTTATATTAATGCTGTATCTTGTTGCTTTGTCTGTGATCCACCATCTTAGAATGGCATTAATATGATAATTAACTTTGGCAATAGATGAAAGCTGGTAGTAACAATCAGTTTTACTCTTAATAAAAACCTGTTTACCCACAAGGCATTTGAGCATAAAATCTCAATCATTGATGTCATACTGTCATTTTACTGCTAGGTTTGTTATCATCACTACCCATTAGTTAATTTAGCTTTATTTGAAACCTTTCATTATAGAGGAGAAACAGTTGCTGTTGTAGATATGTCACGAGCGTGAGAGCATTAGAAAGACAGAAGATTTGGATGACAGATTGTAATCATAGAAATACTAGGATCTAGAGATTTTGTAATTGCATCTGTGGAAGAGTTACAGTTTCAAATAGTCTGTAGTTGAATATTCTAAATAGAATAACAAAAAATATGAGTTTGATTTCTGTCTTACACCTCAGTAAAGGCCTGAATTTTTGTTTTTCATCGAGCCACTAAAACTGAAATGAAATCACAAGACAGTATTTTCCTTATGGAATGTCTGAATGTATCTTCAGGACAGTCTATTTTCTGGCACATTTCAAACCAGTTCGATTTTCTGTGTTTGTATCATTTGCGTTGTCTGTTTATGAAGTTACTGTCAGTACTTCATGTTATGTTATTAGGTAGCCCGTAGCCTGTGGAGGAGGTCTTACAGCTTGTCTCACAGCAAATACAGGCCTCTAGGCATGCTTTGTAATGAAGTCAATCTGCTCATGAGTTTGGGGGCTTGTTTGTTCAGATTCAGAGTTGTAAATGATAATTAACACTTAAATGATCTTAAGGGCATGCTTTTATGAGCTGAAATCTAGCTTTATCTAGCATATAGAATAAGTAAGAGCAAGCAGTCATCAGCTTTGCTGAAGGCATCATAATAGCAAATATTTCAAAGTCAGCAGAAATAAAAAATAAAATCTGAATCTTACTAAGTGACAGCTAGAACAACTGTTGGGACAGGTGTCCGACGAAGTGTCTAAACATTCAGCATCAACTGAAGTTGGACACCTGCACCTGCTGTATTATCTTTTGTTATCGCTGGTAGCTTCAATTTGTATTATTGAAAGAATATTTTCATAGAAAAATTGTAATTACTTGGGAAGTGGCCCAGAATATAATGTCATCACGTTACTACAAAGAATGCCTTCCACAATCACCTTCACCTGTTGTTGTATCATGGTGAATCTGTAAGGAGCATCTTAAAATTTTCCTTCAGGGTGTTGGTGCATTTCATCTTCTGGAGCCTGTTACAGCAGCATATGTGGCAATAGCTTCATGGCTGGGCTTTGTGTGCTGTGAGTAATTTTCAGTGAATACTGTTATTTGGTGAGTTTTTGTGGTTCCTTCCTAACGTTCACGTTTTTCAGGTAGAAATGCTTAACTGCTTTAGTGCTCAATTACCATCTTCCAGCTGCTGCTTTAAGCCACTTCTAAGGGGCTGCTACTAAAATACTGCCAGATGAAATCTGCTTAGCAATGTCAATCCAGCTCCCCTTTTCCCTGTCCAGTTTTGTTATAGCAGGTTTCAGCAGCTCTATATAGGTGAGTTCAGCTTCAGGTTCCTTTGCAGTGGGAGCATTATAGCAAATTTTTCTAACAGGAAAGATAGATGTTAATGTTTCAGATACCTGGGTCCATCTGCATTAGTTTTCCAGCAAGCCACACTGTGCTTTGCACAAAACTGTGGAAGAGCTCAGCAAATCCAGCCTTGCCCACGTGTGTGGTGCTTATGCATACTCAAGGGCAAAGCGTTGGCCGCTGAAGCTGTGTGCACCTGCCACGTTTTGGAAACACTGTCATTCAAGCTGCCAGTCAGTCCTGTTGTTTGACAGCTAGCCAGGCACCGTGTACAAAGACAAAGCAATCTTCTCCCAGAAAGACTGCCCTGGATTTTGAGTGTTTTGGTGATTGTTTTGCTGTAGTAGCAATAAGGAAACTGCCTTCACAGCTAATTGATGTTGTGTGGGGGGTGTACACAGAGGTATGACAGCTGTGCAATGACTGTCTTTTTGCTTCAAATTATAGGCTTCATGTAAGTACTTTTTTAATGCAGTGATTAAATGTGGAACTGAGAGAGGAAGGGAAAATTGGCCTTTTCTCAGGGACGAAATATTGAGACAGTAGAGATTTTTCAAGGTGTTTATCTTTTGGCACTAAATCGTACTTTTGTCTGTTTGTTTTCTTTGAATGTGCGACCTTCCCAGAGACAATGTTTTTACTCTGCAGCATCTGTGCTGTCTTCAATGGTCTTTGGTCCATCATGAAGAACAGTACTGATACTGCTATCATCATCTCTGTTTTACTATGGAACAGTACAGGTTTAATCATTTTGGTCCTCATTTTTGCCTCCTATTTTATTAAACATTTTCTCAGATTGTTTCAGAGACGTTACATCCTATAGTGAATTTAATCATATATTATCAATGATCTGAACATAATGACCCTTTCTGTAAAGCTTAGCTCAGCAGTTGTATCCTTCCTTCCATTTGGAATATAGGGAATACTTTCAGTGAGTGTAGCTTAATGTTTTTTTGAAAAGCTTTAATGACCAGGTATTTTTGCCCTTTCATGTGGTGTTGTTTTACTGTGTTGTCTCAACTGTGTGATCTCACAGTAAAAAATAGAACAGAGAAACTTCATTAATGGCCTGTAGAAGTACCACGGTGTGAATCATTGGCATCAAATGCTTTTGTGTTTGTGCTGTGCTGCTTTCCAGCATGGCCAGCAGGTGGAGAAACTGAAGAAGAAAGCTGTAGAGAGGTAACTCCTTGCAGCAACTGCAGATACCCTGGCTCGGAATGGCCTAAGATTGCTTCTTGCAGTGTTAGGGAAAGTAGGCTTGTGATTGCATTGAGTTTTGTTAGATGTTTTAGGCAATTGGTTCCTTCATTATTCTTCCAGAGTATTCCTGTATTCTGCTCTTCTAAATCTAACTTGTAGTTAATTGTCTCTAGGATCTTTCTTCTGTGTAAATTTAATTGAAGTACATTACAGCTAAACGGTGTTATTTTCATAATCGTCCTGATTAGGTGGAAGACACTAGGTTATTTCAAGTCATTTCTTGGCAATCTGAAATGCAAATAGTTATTAAGAAACTGTGTATGTAAGTAATGCTGCACTTTTTTTTTTTCTTTTTTTTTTTTTCTTTCTTTCTTTTTTTTTTTTTTTTTCCTTCTGGAATATCATTTTCTTTTCTAAAAATGCCTGTGCTGTGCTAGGTCTTCTATTGGATGGGAAAAGAAGGACGGTTCTTACTGACCCTCCTCTACTAGTGAGTAAAAGGTCCTGAATTATGCTATGGATCACTCCTGATAAATAGATAGAAATGTCACAATGTTCCCTTTTCAAAGGCCTCTTGGAATCTCTGTAGTGGCCAAAACAGGAAAATGCTGCATAGTAATACAAATTACTGTCTCCTTAGGAGTACTTATGTGAAGAAGTGTGTTTATGGTACAGTTAAGGGCTTTGTGAATTCTTTTTTTTTTTTTTTTTTTTTTTTTTTTTTTTTTCCTTAGTCAGTCAACTTTACAAGGTAAAATGAATGTTGTGATAGGAAGATGTTTAAAAATATTTATGAACTTAATTCCCCCAAAAGAATAATATAAAACTCAATGAGTAGCTGACTACTGAATAGCAGGTGTCTCATTAAAAATAATAGAAGTGCTGGTTTGCTTACAGATGTTCAGCAAAAAAAGGGTGATTAGCAGGGTGCTGGCTGAGCACAACCAATGTTACCTTGTTAATTGTGTATCAGGCAGGTAATTACTAGTAGCTCAACTTACTGCATAAGAGCTTGTCATCTTTTCTGCTCTTTGCCACAGG